GGGGGGGGAGATTTCTTATCTTAAATGATATTATCTTAAAGGACCAGGGCGAGACAGAAGACATGTGAGCGCCTTTATCTGTCCGGGTTAACACAGGAAGCAGCTCCTTTGTTTAACTCGATGCTATTAGAGTTTAACCTGGTTTAGCGGACCGTGTTTAGCCGTTATTACAGTTTAACCTCATCTAGCTGTTATATGAGTTGAACTCGATATAACGGATCGTATTTAACATACAGTAAAGTTCAACCAATTGAACGTTCACCTGATATTAACAGTTTAACCCGATTCAGCTTACCGCGTTTAGTTGTTTTTACAGTATGATGCAGTATACCGTTCAACAATGTATAAGGTATTGTTACTTATCTGCAGTGTTGAGGTATAACATATAAGTTAACTAGCTTTTTCTCATTGTGTATGATTATACTTGTTTAGATAGCCATTAATTATAGTGCAATGTGTAAAGACTGGCAATAGATATTAATTACAGCTCTATTACTAGTCGCAAACACAATCATCAGAGAAATAAAGTCGCCAGCCAACAAAGTCGTCAGATAAAAAATAAAGCTACCACTGAAATATTGAGACACAGCCCATAATATTACCAGTAAATGTAAATCACTAACCAAATTATCAAACACTAATTCACCAGCCGTGTAAAATATGTAAACACTTGCATATAACCAGCCGTGCAAAATAAACACCTACATATAACCAGCCGTGCAAAATAAACACCTACATATAACCAGTCGTGTAAATTATGTAAACACCTACATATAACCAGCTGTGTATAATATGTAAACACCTACATATAACCAGCTGTGTAAATGTGTAAACACCTACATAATTATAACCAGCTGTGTAAATTATGTATACACTTACATATAACCAGCCGTGTAAAATATGTAAACAGATACTTATATCCAGCCGTGTAAATTATGTAAACACATATAACCAGCCGTGTAAATTATGTAAACACCTACATATAACCAGCCGTGCAAAATAAACACCTACATAAAACCAGCCGTGTACAATATGAAAACATCTACATATAACATGTTGAACAACCACATAATGCTATACCTACTGCGAACTCACGTTTTAATCAATTTATTAATTATAAGTGACTTAAAGGATTTTCCTTGTATAATCCTACCTCTCAGGGCAATACATCCAATTACACAAACAAAACTAAACATGCAGGCCTACTTATCTTCTGAGGTAGGGGTTCCTAACTGGGTTCGATCGAACCCCAGGGTGAGTCAGACTCAGGGGTTCGAGAGGTCAAGACACATACTCGACTTTTTGTCAGTGCGAAAGAAAAATTATTAAAAGGGGTCCAGTTCAGCGAATACGCTTATGAAACGGGTGGGGTTGGGTACCTCTAACAAGGTTAAGAACCACTGTGCTAGAGTATCAAGTTTGTAGCAATATAGCCATGTTAAACCTACAGTTAAAACTATGTAAACCTACCTAGATTATATCACGTTTGTAGCAATATAGCCATGTTAAACCTACAGTTAAAACTATGTAAACCTACCTAGATTATATCAAGTTTGTATCAATATAGCCATGTTAAACACAGTTAAAACTATATAAACCTACCTAGATTATATCACGTTTGTAGCAATATAGCCATGTTAAACCTACAGTTAAAACTATGTAAACCTACCTAGATTATATCAAGTTTGTAGCAATATAGCCATGTTAAACGTACAGTTAAAACTATGTAAACCTACCTAGATTATATCACGTTTGTAGCAATATAGCCATGTTAAACCTACAGTTAAAACTATGTAAACCTACCTAGATTATATCAAGTTTGTAGCAATATAGCCATGTTAAAACTACAGTTAAAACTATGTAAACCTACCTAGATTATATCAAGTTTGTAGCAATATAGCCATGTTAAACCTACAGTTAAAAAAAAAAAATCATAAAAAACGTTTTAATAACAAGCTTTTATGTAATGATGCACTAAAAAGTAGAAAATAAATTATAGACTACTATTTAAATAACTATAAAGAAAAGCGTGGGTCACTTTAGTATCTATTGGATACCTTTACTAATGTTAAGGAAGACACCCACGCTTTTCTTTATAGTTATTTAAATAGTAGTCTATAATTTATTTTCTACTTTTTAGTGCATCATTACATAAAAGCTTGTTATTAAAACGTTTTTTATGAATTTTTTTTTTCAGTACTTTACATGTTTTATCTACAATAGAGTTACATGACTAAAAACCATTGCGCGCCTACTGAATATCACGTTCAGTAGGCGCGCAATGGTTTTTGAACGCAGCCATTACGTGGTCGTGATGGCGCAGCTATTGATGACGCGTGTGGTGTGGTTGGCTAGACATGCCTACTAATTCGGTCCAAATTTTAATTAATTAATAAAAAATTAATTAGGCATCCGATTAATTAAGTCAAATTTAGTTTCAGATTGCATTGTCTTCATGTCTTGACCCACGTGCCAACTGTGAATCGTATCTGTCAAGTAGAACTGTCCGAATTTTCACTCCTGCGTTTCCGTCTAGACTGACGACAGACAGAGGAAGTGAGTTAAAAAAAAATTCATAAAAAACGTTTTAATAACAAGCTTTTATGTAATGATGCACTAAAAAGTAGAAAATAAATTATAGACTACTATTTAAATAACTATAAAGAAAAGCGTGGGTCACTTTAGTATCTATTGGATACCTTTACTAATGTTAAGGAAGACACCCACGCTTTTCTTTATAGTTATTTAAATAGTAGTCTATAATTTATTTTCTACTTTTTAGTGCATCATTACATAAAAGCTTGTTATTAAAACGTTTTTTATGAATTTTTTTTCAGTACTTTACATGTTTTATCTACAATAGAGTTACATGACTAAAAACCATTGCGCGCCTACTGAATATCACGTTCAGTAGGCGCGCAATGGTTTTTGAACGCAGCCATTACGTGGTCGTGATGGCGCAGCTATTGATGACGCGTGTGGTGTGGTTGGCTAGACATGCCTACTAATTCGGTCCAAATTTTAATTAATTCATAAAAAATCAATTAGGCATCCAATTAAGTCAAATTTAGTTTCAGATTGCATTGTCTTCATGTCTTGACCCACGTGCCAACTGTGAATCGTGTCGGTCAAGTAGAACTGTCCGAATTTTCACTCCTGCGTTTCCGTCAAGACAGACTTACGACAGACAGAGGAAGTGAGTTAAATAAAAGCTTGTAATAAAAGCTTGTAATAAAAGCTTGTAACTATGTAAACCTACCTAGATTATATCACGTTTGTAGCAATATATCCATGTTAAACCTACAGTTAAAACTATGTAAACCTACCTAGATTATATCAAGTTTGTAGCAATATAGCCATGTTAAACCTACAGTTAAAACTATGTAAACCTACCTAGATTATATCAAGTTTGTAGCAATATAGCCATGTTAAACCTACAGTTAAAACTATGTAAACCTACCTAGATTATATCAAGTTTGTAGCAATATAGCCATGTTAAACCTACAGTTAAAACTATGTAAACCTACCTAGATTATATCACGTTTGTAGCAATATAGCCATGTTAAACCTACAGTTAAAACTATGTAAACCTACCTAGATTATATCAAGTTTGTAGCAATATAGCCATGTTAAACCTACAGTTAAAACTATGTAAACCTACCTAGATTATATCAAGTTTGTATCAATATAGCCATGTTAAACACAGTTAAAACTATATAAACCTACCTAGATTATATCAAGTTTGTATCAATATAGCCATGTTAAACCTACAGTTAAAAATATATAAACCTACCTAGATTATATCACGTTTGTAGCAATATAGCCATGTTAAACCTACAGTTAAAACTATGTAAACCTACCTAGATTATATCAAGTTTGTAGCAATATAGCCATGTTAAACGTACAGTTAAAACTATGTAAACCTACCTAGATTATATCACGTTTGTAGCAATATATCCATGTTAAACCTACAGTTAAAACTATGTAAACCTACCTAGATTATATCAAGTTTGTAGCAATATAGCCATGTTAAACCTACAGTTAAAACTATGTAAACCTACCTAGATTATATCAAGTTTGTAGCAATATAGCCATGTTAAACCTACAGTTAAAACTATGTAAACCTACCTAGATTATATCAAGTTTGTAGCAATATAGCCATGTTAAACCTACAGTTAAAACTATGTAAACCTACCTAGATTATATCAAGTTTGTAGCAATATAGCCATGTTAAACCTACAGTTAAAACTATGTAAACCTACCTAGATTATATCACGTTTGTAGCAATATAGCCATGTTAAACCTACAGTTAAAACTATGTAAACCTACCTAGATTATATCACGTTTGTAGCAATATAGCCATGTTAAACCTACAGTTAAAACTATGTAAACCTACCTAGATTATATCAAGTTTGTAGCAATATAGCCATGTTAAACCTACAGTTAAAACTATGTAAACCTACCTAGATTATATCAAGTTTGTATCAATATAGCCATGTTAAACCTACAGTTAAAACTATATAAACCTACCTAGATTATATCACGTTTGTAGCAATATAGCCATGTTAAACCTACAGTTAAAACTATGTAAACCTACCTAGATTATATCAAGTTTGTAGCAATATAGCCATGTTAAACGTACAGTTAAAACTATGTAAACCTACCTAGATTATATCACGTTTGTAGCAATATAGCCATGTTAAACCTACAGTTAAAACTATGTAAACCTACCTAGATTATATCACGTTTGTAGCAATATAGCCATGTTAAACCTACAGTTAAAACTATGTAAACCTACCTAGATTATATCACGTTTGTAGCAATATAGCCATGTTAAACCTACAGTTAAAACTATATAAACCTACCTAGATTATATCAAGTTTGTATCAATATAGCCATGTTAAACATACAGTTAAAACTATATAAACCTACCTAAATTATATCAAGTTTGTAGCAACATACGTTAAACATACAGTTAAAACAATATACAGAGCACTTACCTAGAGTATCAAGTCTGTTTCATCAAGTTGACAAGATGCCCCGAGACGACAAATATCCAAGAGTTCTGCGATCATAAGTTAAAATATCCGGACTCCAAACTTACGAATACTTATCCAGAAACGTCAACATCTCGTTATCCAATGAACACAACACTATCTTGGTTTAAGCAATTTTTTTTTTTTACATCTGTCGGTATATCCTTCATGAATCACAGAGCAGCGCACTAAAATATCACATCAAAATAGGAGAAAGAAGGAACACTTTTCCAAGAGTCATGGACCTACGTAGACCTACATTTAAAGATAATAAAAAATATTAATATAAAATGGAATATTAACACAACCCCCCTCCATGAAAAAAATAGCCCAACATTCCAAAGATAACGAATGCAAATAGGATATCAAACTACGAATACGTTTTGTATTATTTGCATGATCTCGGACCATCATGTAAACGTAAACACAATACAAGAACACAAGACTACCACATTAGAAATTTGCACCATCCCATGCATGATCAAAAGATCAAGATTCTATAGATAATACAACTTACACATTACTGATCAAGATTCTAAAATAACACAACTAAAACATAACCGGCCAACATTTAAAGGATAACACAATACACATAATAGCCCAACATTCAAAGGATAACACAATACACATAATAGTCCACCATTCAAAGGCTAACACAATAAACATAATAGACCAACATTCAAAGGATAACACAACAAAAATAAAACAAACCTGTTGATAACAACTAAAACATAACCAACCCACATTCTTAAGATGACACAACAGCAAGCTTACAAATCACTAGTTTAACGCATAAAGTAATGTCATATCGTTCGATCAATGACTATTGAATATCCTTAAAACCCCAGGCCTCCCCTACTCAAACAATACATAGAGCAGCATCAAACCTTACAATTAGAAGTTGGCCGTCGATATTTCATTCAATAACTAAGTAAACACGGCATTTTGCTCCTGCGTAGATTCAACATCGACGCAATAATATTTACCCATGTTCGCGAGAAAAGTGGGCCCATTTATCGCAGAAGAAAGGGGTTTATTCACAGCCCTCTTCAGACTGGGGGTCACATAACGCCGGAAATGGTAGGTAGATGGGGGGAATCGCATGCCAATAATCTGCAGGGGGTATTATGTCAAGTCTTAGATAATATGGTATCCGGAAGTTGAATAGTTCCGAGAGGAATCAGTGTAGGTAGATAACAAAGGGTAGTGTTTGAAGACACTTAGATCTAGAAGGCAAGCATTGCCTACCTTAATCGGTTGATCAGTATTTATTCAGTTTTACATGTCAAATACTTGTTCGTTTTCTAAAAAAAAATAGTTGTATTTTGTTTTAGTGGTAAAAAAAAATATACAACTATTTTTAGCTGTTTTTTTTAGGTTTGAGTTTTTTATAATGATTCTACAGTTTGTTAATTTTTTTATTTAAAATTAAAAATAGTTTGGACATTTCGATTTTTGTCTACAACAAAAACGACCGTGTCGTAGAAAAGAAAACTGAGATAGTTGTAACGCATCAGGATCTGACCTAAGTTGTGTCCACCCCCATCCCCATATTTCTATACTTCCCTGACATGAGATACCATATCACAACAGCAACATGACACCTGTTGGTATTGATCTCTCCCCCCTTCCCACCCTGTGCTGGCTATACGATAATGACCACTTGGTGCTTAAGAGCAGGAAGTTCACCACTGTCTACACCGTTTTGTTTTTTAAAGTCCAGAAGTAAAGTTTCTCTTCTTAAACTAGTTAAACCAAACCTTGTTTGGATTATCATAACCTCTTAGACAACAGGCTAGAAGTAATTGAACGTGTATTTGTTTGATCTAACTATTTAATGGTACATTACTTACTACTTAGGTTAACACAATGTTTAAATTGAATTTATATTGAACATAAATCGAAAAAAAAACCCCAATGTAATGTCGATAATAAGTAAGGGAGATCTAACTTTACTTCAACCTCGCACGTTAGTCAACTTAAGCCATACTAAACGTTTTAAAATTAGCTATTAATTAAATAAATTAGTCTCACGGGCGTGATTTATCCAGTCTTATGATCCATAATTTCACACACCGCTGGCGCCGGAAATGGAACCTTTGATGCATAATCCAAGAGCAGACCTACTGAGCGGGGACACACCGGAAGTCCTTTACTCGAGCAGACGATTACACAGCTAGCTAACCGACACTGGCTTCAAGCTGTCGCTTGTTGCAATGGTTGTGTGTGTGTGTGGGGGGGGGGGGGGGGTATCAATCGTTTCTTGTGTTGTGGTTTTAGATTAGCGATGCGTTGCAATTTTTAAAACTAGGTCAGTGTTTTTTACAACACAAATTGGTAGACCTACTCGTCGATATGCTATACAGTGAGCGGGAAAAAGTCATAAAGGAAATATATTACTGGTAAAAAAAGTCATAGTATAAAATTCACAAAAAAAATGTTTTAAGAAATATTTTGATTTACTTGCTGAGAATTGAAAAAATGTAGGTTATATTTTTAGTAACATGTTTAAAACTTTAAAAACATGATTTATAATAATAATAATCCGACTTTTAACTTCTTAATAAGTATTAATACTGTAACGCAATGTACACAGCAGCTTCTAATTGAGTTACATATTTAATTCATACCCGGAAAGTTATTTATAACAGAAATTTAAACACATCATTGTGTTTTGTGTGTTTTTTTGCCGCAGTCCTGTCCTCGATCGGTCTTGTCCGTCCACAATTGTGTATTGTTGACGATGGTGTCAATGACAGCCTTTGTTTTCTAGCATGTCGGCTTTTTGTCTTGATCCTATGCTTTGTGATGTAATGAGCATGATACATGGGGGCAGTAAAGGTGGTTGAACTATGAGTTGAATACAGCAAGTCATATTACAATGCCTTTCTTCACATTTCGCACTAATTCAAGTTAGTATTTTTTTAAACGATGAAAACTGAGTTGGTTGGGACGTTCTATTATATTCTATTAATTGAATAAGCCATAAATGTAGGCCTATAATAAATAAAAACTTACTTCAGACGAAATATTTTTACGTGTGTTATAAATATTACCATAGGAATCGGCCTACAACCTACGCACATGTAGCCTATCTAAGATGTTTACATTACACACTGAACTCTATGCAAATACACATGTGCATTGTTCTTGTGACTTTTTCTCTGTGACTTTTTTCCCCACAATTATGCCAGATCTGCCTTACGTCACAAGAATCAATTTGAAGTTAATTTCCTTTCCGAAATTTCGGAAATATGGACGTGATAACGTGGGCACGGCTACCCCTCCCCCTCCCTCAAATTAAAAAAAAAAAGAAAAGGCCATCTATATTATTATTACTATAATATAAGACCCTAGGTAGTGTGTCAGTCCGTCCGTCATCGCTACAGAATCTAACATAAGTAAACAATACATGGCATATATTACTCGCATCACGGTGAGTGGTCTAGTACAGGGGCGTGCACAGAATTGGGACGCCGTGGGTAGAGGAACAGTAGCTGATTAAACATTCCAGTAGAACAATTCCGACCCTCCATTCGCGGCTTCCGGGGTAAACAAAAACGTGATATACCCCAGACAGAGTGCACATTTGTAATGAGCTCGCGCTAATCCAATCACAATACCCGCCCTGATTCCTGGTACGTCTAGCGGACGTGATCCCCCACATTCCAGCATTCCTGCATGTTTAGAGCGTGTTGTCTTAAGATTACAACACGAGGCGGACAATGAAAAAAAAAATGCTCCGTAAATTATTCCAGACGCTTCCAAAAGAAGGACTAGTGCTTTTTTTGTGCTTTGAATTAAATATGAAAAAGGGGGGGGGGGGGGGGTAAAGTTTTTAAAAAAACTATTACTGTACAAAGCTGACATAGCTTCAAATATTACTTATCTACTATAGATAACATAAATTACATAACTATCCATAGAGCCAAACTTGTTTTCTGAATGTTTTTAAAATCGTGAGAAGTTACAAGAGCACAAGGAATACCGATTTATTTATTTTTTAAATAATCAATAATCCTCAAACCCAAATTTAAAATTGAATTGGCACTTGACGATTACATATCCAGAACTTATCAATGAAAACGATTCCTGAATGAATACTAAATGTTGGTGTAACCTTATCGGTTGTACCACATAGGTAGCCTACCTATTGCAAATCACTAAGTACCGAATGTAGGATACTACACTGATCTAAATGTGATTTGACTGAACTGTTGAAGCAATCGATAAAGATGACAGTCAGTACATTGGACAGCTGAGACAGGACAGATGACAGCCAGTAGACCAGTACACCCTACAGACACTGCACCACCAGTACACCCTACAGACACCACACACCACCAGTACACCCTACAGACACTGCACCACCAGTACACCCTACAGACACTGCACCACCAGTACACCCTACAGACACCACACACCACCAGTACACCCTACAGACACCACACACCACCAGTACACCTTACAGACACTGCACCACCAATACACCCTACAGACACTGCACCACCAGTACACCCTACAGACACTGCACCACCAGTACACCCTACAGACACTGCACCACCAATACACCCTACAGACACTGCACCACCAATACACCTTACAGACACTGCACCACCAGTACACCCTACAGACACTGCACCACCAATACACCCTACAGACACTGCACCACCAATACACCCTACAGACACTGCACCACCAATACACCTTACAGACACTGCACCACCAGTACACCCTACAGACACTGCACCACCAATACACCCTACAGACACCACACACCACCAGTACACCTTACAGACACTGCACCACCAATACACCCTACAGACACTGCACCACCAGTACACCCTACAGACACTGCACCACCAGTACACCCTACAGACACTGCACCACCAATACACCCTACAGACACTGCACCACCAATACACCTTACAGACACTGCACCACCAGTACACCCTACAGACACTGCACCACCAATACACCCTACAGACACTGCACCACCAATACACCCTACAGACACTGCACCACCAATACACCTTACAGACACTGCACCACCAGTACACCCTACAGACACTGCACCACCAATACACCCTACAGACACCACACACCACCAGTACACCTTACAGACACTGCACCACCAATACACCCTCCAGACACTGCACCACCAATACACCTTACTGGCACTGCACCACCAGTACACCCTACAGACACTGCACCACCAATACACCCTACAGACACCACACACCACCAGTACACCCTACAGACACCACACACCACCAGTACACCTTACAGACACTGCACCACCAATACACCCTACAGACACTGCACCACCAGTACACCCTACAGACACTGCACCACCAGTACACCCTACAGACACCACACACCACCAGTACACCCTACAGACACCACACACCACCAGTACACCCTACAGACACCACACACCACCAGTACACCTTACAGACACTGCACCACCAATACACCCTACAGACACTGCACCACCAGTACACCCTACAAACACTGCACCACCAGTACACCCTACAGACACTGCACCACCAGTACACCCTACAGACACTGCACCACCAGTACACCCTACAGACACTGCACCACCAATACACCCTACAGACACTGCACCACCAATACACCCTACAGACACTGCACCACCAATACACCTTACAGACACTGCACCACCAGTACACCCTACAGACACTGCACCACCAATACACCCTACAGACACCACACACCACCAGTACACCTTACAGACACTGCACCACCAATACACCCTACAGACACTGCACCACCAATACACCTTACAGACACTGCACCACCAGTACACCCTACAGACACTGCACCACCAATACACCCTACAGACACCACACACCACCAGTACACCTTACAGACACTGCACCACCAGTACACCCTACAGACACCACACACCACCAGTACACCCTACAGACACCACACACCACCAGTACACCCCACAAACTCAACCAGTACACCCTACAGACACCACACACCACCAGTACACCCCACAAACTCAACCAGTACACCCTACAGACACTGCACCACCAGTACACCCTACAGACACCACACACCACCAGTACACCCCACAAACTCAACCAGTACACCCTACAGACACTGCACCACCAGTACACCCTACAAACACCACACACCACCAGTACACCCTACAGACACCACACACCACCAGTACACCCCACAAACTCAACCAGTACACCCTACAGACACCACACACCACCAGTACACCCCACAAACTCAACCAGTACACCCTACAGACACTGCACCACCAGTACACCCTACAAACACCACACACCACCAGTACACCCCACAAACTCAACCAATACATCCTACAGACACCACACACCACCAGTACACCCTACAAACACCACACACTACAAGTAAACCCTACAGACACCACACACCACCAGTACATCCTACAGACACCACACACCACCAGTACATCCTACAGACACCACCAGTACATCCTACAGACACCACACACCACCAGTACATCCTACAGACACCACCAGTACATCCTACAGACACCACACACCACCAGTACATCCTACAGACACCACCAGTACATCCTACAGACACCACACACCACCAGTACATCCTACAAACACCACACACCACAAGTACACCCTACAGACACCACACACCACCAGTACATCCTACAGACACCACACACCACCAGTACATCCTACAAACACCACACACCACAAGTACACCCTACAGACACCACACACCACCAGTACATCCTACAGACACCACACACCACCAGTACATCCTACAGACACCACACACCACCAGTACACCCTACAGACACCACACACCACCAGTACATCCTACAGACACCACACACCACCAGTACATCCTACAGACACCACACACCACCAGTACATCCTACAAACACCACACACCACCAGTACATCCTACAGACACCACACACCACAAGTAAATCCTACAGACACCACACACCACAAGTACACCCTACAGACACCACACACCACCAGTACACCCTACAGACACCACACACCACAAGTACACCCTACAGACACCACACACCACAAGTACACCCTACAGACACCACACACCACCAATACACCCCCACAGACACCCCACATTTGGCATGACGCCAGACAAATGACATTTCTTACTCGAGGTTTTATGACCACAATAGAAGGGGGGGGCAGGGGCTAAAGAAACAACAAGGACTTCTTGATCAAGTAAAAATCGATATTTGCGTAAGATTGTGGAGTCTTAAGGGCTAGCATGTCATTATAACAAACCTACTAGCGCTGGGAAACGAATGGGAAAGGGGGGGAGGGGGTTAGTTTGTAAAAATAAAACTTATCCGATAACAGAAGAAAGGAGTGCTGGGTACCGCATTAGGTAAAGAGATAGGGCCGTTATGCGCCCATTAGGGTCAAATGTTATGCCAGAACGCACCGGTGCTAGCGGGGATAAGGACAATATGGGCGTCCTATGGTGTGCAGACGTGTAGTAGGGGGCAATAAAAACCACAAGTCGTAAATATATTGTGGAGCAGGATTGTGGAAACATTAAACATTTGTATGGGACGTGGTTCGTGTTTTCTATAGGATAGTACTAGTAGTAGTAGTAGGATTGTTTGTGTTGTATGTTAGATTGATCCGCGATCAAATTGCCAGTACCAAGAACGTGTGTAGGTAAAGCTGTAAATACCGTGTTTTTTTTAATGTGTAATACGTGTGTAATATGCTGTGCTGTTGTGTTGTTGGCGTGTGATATACTGTTTTGTTACTGTGTGATACGTGTGTTATATACTGTGTCGTGTGATATACTGTTTTTGTTATAGTGAGGTTGGCATATGTAATATGCCGTGTTTTGTTACTGCGTGATACGTGTGTTATATACTGTGTCGTGTGATATACTGTTTTTGTTATAGTGAGGTTGGCATACTTAATATACCGTGTTTTGTTACTGTGTGATACACATGTGTAATATACTGTTTCTGTGTGATACGTGTGTGTAGTGTGTAATATGCTGTGTCGTAGTGTTGTTGGCGCGTGATATACTTGTTTTGTAACGTGAGGTAGGCATGTGAATTATACCGTGTTTTGTTACTGTGTGATACGAGTGTGTAATGTATCGTGCTTGGTCATTGTAAGGTGAACGTGTGTTATCAGTTACGTGTTTTTTTCACGTAAGAATTTTAAGAAAAGGATATTTGTAAATAGAAAAAAAGAAATCAATTTTTACCGAACCAGAAGCCTGTCACATCGACAATAAAATGGGGTATAAACAATTTTTTTAAAACATGGGCTTTAAGATACCATAGATCTATATATCAGGTTAAAAAGGGTGGGAACATTCAAAGCTTTCATATGCGAGTAAATGGGAAGACGCCGAAATGTCTAGATGACCAATTATTGACCGTGTCAATGAAACGAACATGACAACACTTTAACGATAAAGTCCGTGTTGAAGACAGTGACTAAACATTTCCTCGTAGACCGATTAGAACTGTAGAATAAGAGATAAAAACATGTTTACGGTCGTCGCTATTTTTAGATTTGTAATCCCAGAGTTTCGAACCTGATAAAAAACGTTTTTTTTTTTCAATACAAATCTTCTTATTTAAGCGAGCAATAATTTCAGTAGACATTGCAAATGAAGTTCACTTAGCTTTGTTTATAACAGATTGTACAGTTGCCTAAGCAAACAATTGTGAACATTCATGGGGGGGGGGGGGGGGGGGAGTCGACGACGACGACACAATTTGTTGCCTATGTAGAGTCATCGGGCATTTCCTTCAGATAAACTATTTATAAATCTAGGTTACTGATCTATTTTACTATACAAATACAAGCGGTTAATCTTCGTTGCTTTGTTCAATAAATAATATTAATTTTTTTTTTAAATGAAGTTAAATATTTCGTTGTTATTTTATTGCTAGGTTCAACTTATTAATAACATCTGAACTAGTACCTACCAATACCAATAATGTTTTATTTAAATCATTGGACCAATAGGGCTAAGGCCTAATAATAAGGAAATTTGTTTTTAAAAAAACGAATCAACAAACTTGAAATCCTAATAATAGTAATAATCTTGGTCGAAAAGAAAAACAAATTCAGGTATCGTTGAAGTCCATGAAGGAAAAGCACCACATCTAAACGTATCCAGAGAATTCCACATGAACATAAGCAGTAATCTCAGTATTCCAGGTAGATCGATGTAGGTAATCCAATGAGAGGCTCATGACGTACGTCCTGCCGAGGTAAGGAGCAGAAGATATAAAACCGCGTCGCGCTAGTCAAACGACACATTCGTTCGGCGCGGTCTGCTGAGGACACAGGTACAGCTCTTAAATACACCGGGCGATACCGAGTAGTCGGGGAAATTCAAGGAGCGATACTAAAAAATCGTTGATGTTATTTTTGTGACACGCATTTATAAAGTAATTCATTAAAAAGCGATATAAATGGTAATTTAAAACATGTCGTTTTTTTTTTCAAGGCAGCTTAGCTTATGACTGCTACTTTGTTTAAATTAGGAAAACTGTTTTAAAAAAATACTATTTATTTTAAATGAACGTAAGAGGTATGTTTTTTAATAAATATATAGCTAACAGTAACCCTAAGCCTAGTCATAATTCTAACCTAGATCCTAACCCTGACCATACTTCGACATCATTGAAAACAGAATCGAGAAAGATGTTTTGTTGGAGTTTTATAATTAATTTTATTCGGGGACGGCGTGGTACAATGGTAGAGCATACGACTGCTAACCCAAAAGTCGAGTTCGAATCCGGGTTGAAGTCCGTTCGGGTGACAACCCAGTTCTGATGGATACCTGACATGTTAGGGAAAGTAAAGGCGACTTGGCATAGTACTGACCACATAATCCCTTCATATTCTGAAGTCAGAGAAACAGGTGAACTCTACTTCATTTGACCCGTCAACCGTCAGGTTCGAAGGGGAGGGGGGGCTTATAGTTTATTAAGTGAACCAAATCTGTGTTTATTTCATGATCCAAGAGCATAATTCAACCTTCTCTAGTCATTAATAGTACAGCTCGGCTAAATATAAAGCTAGTACTCGTCAATACGGCACACTAAAGCTACTTTCATAGAATCGATTCTCTTGAATAATCGTATCGCGCCAATGTTTTTCTCACCGGAGAGCCATGGCGTCAGGCTAATGTAATGCGGTCTAAGGTGTCGACAGCTCGCTGCCTCCCCGCGTACCCAACGTCTGCCATTCAAACGTCTGCAACGCCATCTACTGGGCGCGGGTGGGGTATGGGGGTGGGGCAGGGTGAGGGGGTGGGGGGGGGGGGGGCAGGGTGAGGGGGTGGGGGGGGCAGGGTGAGGGGGTGGGGGGGTGAGAGGCGGCGAGTCAGGCGTTTGTGAAAAAATATTGATACTGCCTGGAAAAGACCTCGTGTCAATATATCAGACCATTGTATGCCTTATAGCTATAGGAAAAAAAATCTGTTATGTAAATAAAATGATTGATGACCTTTCAATAGAAGTCTGGCCTATGGAATCAATAGTTCCTGTATTATTTTAACAACAGTAAACCAAGGTACCAAATTCGTCAAAGCTCGTTATGCTTTGAGACGAATGATCCATTTTTAATTAATGCCAGACGCAAGCGTTGATTGGTCTTTAAAAAATTAACTCGTGAACAATCAATCAATGTTTTTTTTTTTTAATTTGTGGCTGTGGTTCGCCTCGCATGCAATGTTGGATTACCCTAATGCTGAGTAGTTTAAACCTGCTGGGTAACAGACAGCATCACAGCAGGTTACCTGGTTACTGCATGCTTTTAACAACAAGTTAGAATATATATATATATATATATATATATATATATATATATATATATATATGTGTGTGTGTGTGTGTGTGTGTATTTGAGAGAGAGTGCGTGTGTGAGTGTATATGTGTGTGTCTCTATAGCTGCCTAGGACTTTGTTTATAAAGTGAATACTGATGTAAGATTGTGGGCTCTATTTACTGCAAGGTGACGTGAATTTTTAGTGGAATTTGATTTTTAAGTACCATAACGGTTTAACGCTTAAAGTGTCAGCCGCGGTTGTGACTTACTAAAATCTACTTCAGTAAGTCACAACGTGTATTCAATGGTGCACAACTTTAAGAAGGTTTCACGATGATGTATAGATTCTAGATCAGTGTAACTAAAGTATACAATTTGAGTGCTAGGCTGATGAAGTTGAATTGCCTAAACAGATAAATGGCACATCCCACTACATCTGTAAAGACCTTCCTTAGACGGTCGGGTGACTTTGATTGAATTAGTGCGTTGTTTCTGACATCCAACTAGAATTTCACATCGTGGTGATCCAACCGTTTGGGTGTCGTCTGCTACACGGCACAGCGCAGTCAAAAGACCGAGACGGCTTCCTGCTAAACACATACACACATTAATCCACACACATTCATACACACATTCACACGCACATTCATGGCCCTAAAAACCGTTGAAGCAGTGAGATTGATAAGTACTTAAAGGCCAATTTTTTTTTCTAGTTATATATGCTGTATCACCCGTGGAGGTTTTATACTTTGAAAACCTACAACTTCTATTACATGTATCAGAATGTTCGAGTTCCATTACATTTTTCATCGAAGTTAAACGAAAAGACATAAAACAGATTGTATGTGATAAAACAACATACTGATAAGCAATTCACAAGAAGTGTTTACAAACAATTGTCTCGATTCGTCTAAAATTCTTCAACATTGCAACAGTTATTAGTCGACAACGTTACCCTAAACCTAACCATGATCCAAATGGCGTCCATAAAGTACAGTTTATAAACTGGTAAGAAGCTGTACGGCATTTAGTCTATATCTATCTAAACTGCGCGTGATCTATTCAATAATTGACTTGTAGGCGTTCAAATTATTTTTTAAATACATATTACGATTGAAGTGCCCCTCAACCCATCCCAAGTTTTATTCTCAATGAATGGGTTTCTTCACGGCGTTTACACACACCATCACATAAGTCGAGTACCCCTCTCGTTTATGAAAAACTTGTATAACCGGTAACCACAATCCCACAGCTATCTCCATCACCACAGCCATCTACATAACCACAGCGGGCTCAACCGCCGATGCTAGCCATGAACAAATGGGAATGTCCACCATGCATGTGTACCGCTGTGGTCAAGCAGCGTTTGAAATTGTTAAGCCCCGGCTCAATGGACATCAAACAACAAACATTGTGGGCCAGGTTATGCGGTGTTTGACCAAAACTTGCCTCATGGGATCCTCACGGTATAAAAATATGTCGGATCATCTTTGTGTGAGGTTGATGCATCTCAACATCATGTTGATAAATCTGAACACCACGTTGATAAATCATATCATGTGGATACATCTAAACATCATTTAGATAATCTCAACATCATGTTGATACATCTGAACACCACGTTGATACATTACATCATATGAATACATCTAAACATAATTTAGATATATCTCAAAATCATGATGCTATATTTCTAATGTTGATGCATCTCAACACCATGTTGATAATCTCAACATGATGTTGTTGAATATCAACATCACATGATGACATTTCAACATCACATTGATACATCTCAACATTATGTTGAAACATATCTCGACATCATGTGGATACAACTAATTATCATGTTGATACATCTCAACATCATGTTGAAACATCTCGGCATCATGTGGATAAACTAATTATCATGTTGATACATCTTGACATCATCTTGACACATGATAACATCACGTGGACCAAAACATCTTCAGCTGTGTAGAGGCAAACCGTGAAGACATCTTTCACTCAACAGACTACAGCAGACGACGTTACGTCTGGTAACACCGTCAAGCCAGCTATTGATTGCACCCAACAGCATGTCAGGTACCTTGTGGACCGGACACAATCAAAGCCGTTAACACCAGACACAAACCACGTGACTCTGTATGACCAGTGTTAAAAAGGTCACCAACATGAAAGCATGTTGGCATAAGCACAAGCAACAGTGTATCGACATGAGTCAGTGCCAGATCAAGTTGTCTACACGGGAGTGACCATGACGTAGGTGAGTCCACAGAACAATCAAACTGTCCGGTCGTGTCATCCTTCCACTAATCTTTTGATCCGTCCACTAATCTTTTAATCCGGCCACAAATCACCTCCACTGATTGGACAACGCCACCCAACCTGTTGACACGTGACCACAATCACGTGACCATGAATAGACCCCCCCCCCTCCCCATGTCGGGAATAGCCGATTAGTTTGGCCGTCTGGCAAGTTGTCTACCTGACACAGACACCAGGGGCCGTCCACTCCCACACACAGACACCAGGGGCCGTCCACATTGTCCGACAGCGACGGTGGGTCTGTCACGGACAGTGATGGCCCGTCCGTGTGATAATGCCGTGGGTGTGTCCGCGTAACAATCGAATCCCGTCCCTTGGGAACGGGGAGATGGGGGGGGGGGGGGCGAGATTAATTCAATGCGAATCACGAACGATTTAATGTTATCAAGTATGAAGTCACACCACAACAGAACGTTTGAAATAGATCTCAATCCCCCGTTGCCAACTCCTGTCGTCTCCCATCCACAATTTTAAAACAACCCTGATCAATGACGTAAAATTTTTATTTGTCTCGAGAAGTTGCACAACAGCCTAGTTAAAACAACCCTGATTAATGTCTAAAGTTTTTATTTGTCTCGAGATATTTCACAACAGCTTTGAGAGTGTTTGTAGGCAACAAAATAATAAATGTTAGCCAATCGCATCATCTCGTTTTAACAGTTGACACATGTTAAATTAGTGTTAACTTAATTTCAACAGTTTTAGATCCAACAGTCTCTTGATTTTAAAGGTGGGGAGTGGCTTTGAGGGGTGGGGATGTTCATCAAGAAATAGAAGCAGCTTATTTTTGATTTTTATTATCTGATGGAGGAAGTTTCAAGAGGCTATAGTGGAGTGGATATTATATATGTTTAATGTTATTATTCCCTTGATATATTGAAGCTACTGCCCATGTTTAATAGGTGTGTAGAAAGGGGAAGTGAGATTAATAAGCGTGTAGGGAGAGTGTGATTAATTAGTGTGTAGGAAGTGAGATTAATGTGTGTAGGGTATGAGATTAATGGGTGTGTAGGGAGTGAGATTAATGGGTGTGTAGGGAATGAGATTAATGGGTGTAAAGGGAATGAGATTAATGGGTATGTAGGAAGTGAGATTAATGGGTGTGTGGGGAATGAGATTAATGGGTGTGTAGGAAGTGAGATTAATGACTGTGTGGGTGGGGGAACTGAGATTAATGGATGAGTAGGAGGGGAACTGAGATTAATGGGCTTGTACTAAGGGAAGTGAAATTAAAAGTCCGGCCACAATTAGAAGATGTACTGCAGTCGTTCGTGATCTAAAATGGTGATGGAACTATAAAGGGGTTTTTCGGTGACATGTCAAAACTGCTCGTGACACCCCCGACAAAAATGCCCCCCCCCCCCCCCCTGTCAAAATTGTTCTCGACAAAAATGCCGATTTCATACATACACATATAACATACACATAAACACACTCACCCAAGCAGCATAAATGTGGACAATACAGTAACGAGTTGCCTGTTTTTTTTCTAGAGCGTAAGTGCACTATTACGAAAAGAATACTTCTATATACCCCCGGCCAGTTTTCATAGAAAAACAGCTGGATACTATACTAAACTAAAATGTATGTACCCTAACAGAATTGTACCACAAAATATGAACACATTTATACACGATGGTTAGTACCGAATAGCCATACCCACGTATTCTTATTGGGGAGATTGATAATAATGACACTTTAATTCTTAGGATTAGTTTTAAGCCCGGACTAGAGCAAGAGTTGTTTTGTTGGTGGTATTAGCCGTGTGGGTACGGCTAAACGACAAGTACCCACAGGAGATAACGCGTTTATTACAGTACTCCAAGGACGAGATGTGCCCACACAAACACACATAAGAGGGGACGCAACCCCATCAATCATCCAAGGGAGAGCACTCCATTGTCGCGGAGAAGAATATCTAAACTATCTTTAGTGAACACCTGTGTTTATGCTCGTCGCCATGGTGACCGCGTTTACTGGTATGTGTGTTCCGGACATTCCAAAACTGTGACCGGAAAGCGGGTGGCGATTTAAATAAATAAAACGCCCGGATCATGGCGACCAATATTTATCTTCACGTTCCACAAATGTTGATGTATAATTAGCAATTACGGTGATTATCAAGTGTATTTATTTTATGTAGGTGAGTGGGGCTGAATATATTGAAATATGTTAATACTGTTCGCTTGTATATTGGCACATCTCGTTAACCCGGGCACTAAAACTAACGTAATTCGATACAATGAATCAACATTAAAGATAATCATATTGATAACTAACCCAAGCTTAACACTACTCCTTCCACACTTAACACCAAACCAACACAAACCAAAGATTTAAATGTAACCCTATTCTAGTTGAAGAAATGATGAGTATTATGAAGCGTGTTATTTCATTTTAATTATTTCAATGCAGAAAAAAAAATCCTTTATAATCCTAAATTCTAGTTATTAGAGTTTGTGTGTCCATCCGGAGGCGGGGGAGGGGGGGGGAGTATTTCTGTGTTCATGTCCAGATTTAAGCGACATCACGTGCTTAGTTACACGGCACATGTCACATTATAACTAGACCGTAACAAGCAGATTAACGATTCCAACTCTAGCGTGTTTACCAACAGAACCTATGACCAGCGCTTGGTTACATTTCACTTTCTCGTATACGGGGTATAGAGGAAGTATTGTGAAAACTCGAGACTTTGACACATTTTAACGTTTTACACCTTCCTGAATCGGAGTACCGGTATCTAGAATCTTGTCCGTTTGTGTGTCTGTTGTTTGTGTGTACGTGTGTAGACGCGATAACTTGAGCACTGTTTCAATTAGGTAGCGAAATCAGATTCTATATGCAGTTTCCTTTCAACTTTTTATCGATTTCCGGTACCCGGGAGTTGAAAATTGAAGGGTCTAAATTTTAAAAATATGCTTAGACAATTCCTGTTATAAAAATCTGGTCTAATTCAGAGCACCACAACACACAGCAAGATTCTCAAACGTAAACAATGCAGCTGACATCCTGTATTTCTGTCTTCTACCGTGATGACACTGTAAGTGGTAAGCTTGGAGTTAGGGTTAGGAGCTATGGTTATAGTTGTAATTAGAGTTGAAGAGACATTATAGGCGATTAATGTTATACAAACATACGGTATATATAACCGATCTAAAATTGACTGATAGTAATGAGCTAGATGTCTGTTTAGTCACACATTATTTAACCTCTAATCCACCTTAGCTAGTGATCTTGGATTATTGGATTATCACATATTTGATTTAAACTAAACGCTCTGCTATTTCTTAAGACATACGGCCAAAGAAAAACACGCGCAACTTACACTTGCTTGTAGGCCTACCTTACAACTAGGTACTAATATATGCACCATCACACGGTGCGTGCTAGCGTCGCTAGTGACGCACAGAAACCGGTGTCGGCTCAAATATTTGCACCGTAATGTATTCAACTTCACAGCCCGCGGTCCGGTGAGCAAACAGAGATAAGTGATAATTTAATGGCGACAAATCTAAATACAGCACCGTAGTCCGCTTGGCGAGCGATAGGACACGGACGTGGCTCGCGTTGGTAGGTTTGATTTTCTCGCTTATAGGTCAGCTTGACATATAGATCTAGGACAGCTTGACCAGTACTTGATGAATTCCGGTACAGCTTGATCAATACTTGAAAGAATGACAGTTTGACCAGTATTTGGTGACATGCCAGTTTAACTTGTATTTGTGACATGACAGTTTGACCAGTATTTTGGTGACATGACAGTTTGACCAATATTTTGTGACATGACAGTTTAACCAGTATTTGGTGACATGACAGTTTGACCAGTATTTTGGTGACATGACAGTTTGACCAATATTTTGTGACATGACAGTTTAACCAGTATTTGGTAACATGACAGTTTGACCAGTATTTTGTGACATGAGTTTGACCAGTATTTGGTGACATGAGTTTGACCAGTATTTGGTGACATGAGTTTGACCAGTATTTGGTGACATGACAGTTTGACCAGTATTTTGTGACATGAGTTTGACCAGTATTTGGTGACATGAGTTTGACCAGTATTTGGCGACATGAGTTTGACCAGTATTTGGTGACATGACAGTTTAACCAGTATTTGGTGACATGACAGTTTAACCAGTATTTTGTGACATGAGTTTGACCAGTATTTGGTGACATGAGTTTGACCAGTATTTGGTGACATGAGTTTGACCAGTATTTGGTGACATGAGTTTGACCAGTATTTGGTGACATGAGTTTGACCAGTATTTGGTGACATGAGTTTGACCAGTATTTGGTGACATGACAGTTTGACCAGTATTTTGTGACATGAGTTTGACCAGTATTTGGTGACATGAGTTTGACCAGTATTTTGTGACATGAGTTTGACCAGTATTTGGTGACATGAGTTTGACCAGTATTTGGTGACATGAGTTTGACCAGTATTTGGTGACATGAGTTTGACCAGTATTTGGTGACATGAGTTTGACCAGTATTTGGTGACATGACAGTTTGACCAGTATTTTGTGACATGAGTTTGACCAGTATTTGGTGACATGAGTTTGACCAGTATTTGGTGACATGAGTTTGACCAGTATTTGGTGACATGAGTTTGACCAGTATTTGGTGACATGAGTTTGACCAGTATTTGGTGACATGAGTTTGACCAGTATTTGGTGACATATAAAAGCTTGACCAGAATTTGATGACACGTGACAGCTTGACCAAGAGGTTAATGTCACTGGGTCACGCTTAAACATGACCGAAAAATTAGCTTCGTTTAGTGGTTCTTTTCAAGGATGCCTATAACATACCGTTTCAAACGGTCAGAATGTATGCATAGCTTTTGTGGCTGTTTCAAGTAACGCTACCGTAACTCTAGTCTTAAGACAATCTACGAAACTTGCTTTCACCTTATTCCTCATATTAAATTCGATTATCATCGAAAAAATCTTGATGCGATACTGCATTAGCAATTATATCATAAAATATATATCATATCAATACTCATAAAATACTGTCTAGAATTATTAGTGTCGGGTTATGTAAAAGTGTATAGTTAGGGTTAGAACTGTTAGGAATAGGATTGTACCTATATTTACTGGTCCTATAAAACATGAATATTTCCAAACACAGTAGCTGATCCTGGTAAACCGCATAGATATTCTACTTTAAGATCTCCATTGTTTAGTCTTACTGTTCACCTACCTCCAATGAAAAATAAAAGTCACAAAAAAGGCACCCCACTCCCACTGTACACACCATAGATCTATACATAAGACATTAAAGTTACGTGAGGCTTTTAAAAAATCTATAAATCATTGTCGCTGTCTCCCCTAGAAAAAAGTTTATGTCCTGGTATATCCCTACATTTAAAACATTTTTTATATACACGAAACAATTATTTCATGCAACAGTAAAACCACGTCTACAGTAGAACACACATACACTGTAATTAAATTTTTCGAGACAACATCGGGTCCACCTGGTACAATGGTGTGCTTGTAAGATCTATCGGCCTAACATTCATAGTTTTAATGCCTATCTGCATTACACTTCGTAGTTGTAATGACTAAATCTTACATTTCCTAGTTTTAATGCCTATCTGCATTACACTACGTAGTTGTAATGCCTAAACCTTACAGTTACATTTCGTAGTTTCAATTCCTATCGACCTTACATTCATAGTTTTAATGCCTATCTGCATTACACTTCGTAGCTGGCTGTAATGCCTAAATCTTACATTTCTTAGTTTCAATTCCTATCGGCCTTACATTTCAGAGTTTTAATGCCTAATTGCCTAATGTTAACTGCCACACAAAACCATGGGCTGTATTTCTGGGCTTTTCTTGAAGTGTAATCTAACAGAGAGTGGGGTTCAATAGGTGCAAGCTGACCTAAGCCACACACGACGATTGTATAAACCAACAGGGCAGGCTGACCTATTACATACAGGACGAGTATGGTTGCGTCCCCAAGAGACATAAGAAAAAAAATGCAATATAAGTAGTATGTGAAATTGCAATATTATTCTTGTAATTTTATTTTCCAGTTTTTTTTAGGTGAGTGGTGAGGGTATATTTTCTGAAAAAGGAAAAAAATTATTCCCATTTTTATAATGATGTGGCCTTCATTACACTATTTTTCTCTAGAAAATAATACATAGCGAAATAGCATTAAACTTAGAAAATATCTGTGGATAGTTGGAATTACTAAAAATATATTTCAGTATGGCAATATCTGCTATTATATCGGGACATCTTACACCACAGACTAACTTGTTACAATAACATCGTGCAAAATTTTTGAGAAATTATTCATTCATAAACCTAAGTATAAATACACTAATGTGCAAATTACGAATCTCGCTGAGATGCAATATACTGGCTTGTACGTAATGAAACAATGTTTGTTACTTATAAAGATATATCATATACGTGTTACTATGTGCTACACTATAAACCGTTTTTACACCACGAGTTGACTACGAGGCTTCTAAATATAGCCCAGTTGAAAGAAGATTGTGAACTAACGTATTATGTGAAGGTTCTGAACCGAACAACTCCATCTATTCAACCAGGAGGGGGGCGGTCGTCTAATTGGCCTGACGTCACGGGATGTTTCTTAAAAATTAGACAAATGTAGCGGAACAAATTCACTTGACAAAATGTATTTGGGGTGCGGTCTTTTCACAAAATCGATGAATACTTATTTTTTCAACTCGCTAAATAAAACCAAAGTACTGGACCATCTAGTGCAGGGGGTACTTGAATAATAACGTTACTGAATTCACAAAGTGAATTTCAATAAGTGCAAAATTGAACCAGCTCGAAGCGTTCAAAATCTGTTTTTTGTCTTGGTCGCACAAAGAGAGGGTTTGTTCCGTCAAGGGGAGATGACTACAGTAGAAAGGTTGTGTCACACAGCAGATTTCTTCACACGGCGGGCTTGACTTCCCTTATTCAAACGTAACCAGCCCCCTCTCGCCATTCTGGTCTCTCACCTTCATTATTTGCGCATGCTTGGAAATGACGCAGCGGGTCCAACAAATCTACCGAGGGAACGATATTGGTTTATGTGGGCGATCATATTTTCGGTACAAGATATTATATATATATATATATATATATATATATATATATATATATATATATATATATATATATATATATATATATATATATCCATGGACGGACAGACAGACAAACAGACAAACAGACAGACAGACAGACAGACAGACAGACAGACAGACAGACAGACAGACAGACAGACAGACAGACAGACAGACAGACAGACAGATAACCTATATGTAAACTATTAACTACAAGTATTTAGTAATGTCAACTCTATCGCTAACAATATCCCAAATCTGACCGAAGTAGCCTACTGCCATGGCATGGCCCTAAACTTAGTCCTCTTACTAAAATTGATATTACATTACAACTGACAATCTTTTAACATGGAAATTCAATACAATGCCCGATCCGGACAGAATTTTTTAATTTAAAATTAAAAAAAAAAAAGTAAATTAAAGTTGATATCTAAAAGCATCAAGCAGACCAAGTTTACAGTACAGTTTCTCTAACAACGGAGCAGCTGAACAGCGCTGGAACGGTTTTCTATGATTGTGTTGAAGGTTCACAGGGATTTTAACATGTCAATCATTGAAAAAGATACAAAATTATTGGAAAGTGTGGGGGGAAAATAGCAAAGGACCGCAAAGTTAAGAAGAATGTTCCGAAAGGCTTATTCTCTACTAGGAGTTCAAAAAAAGTAACAAACGTGGGGCGCCGTGATTTTCTTACAGTTTCTAATACTGTTGACTCTCTACAAGCTCCCTAATAAAAGTCAATAGTATTATCTAATCAATAGTAATATAACTTTTACATCTTATATTAACAATGACCGATAAAAAACTTTTACTTCGGCGCCCCACGTTTTTCATCGCTTATAGTAGAGTGATCGCTTGCATTATTGTGATGTATAGCATTTATTTTCTACTTTTTAGTTCAATCAGAAAACGTGGGTTTTTTTAAAAACTTTTTTAATGATAATTATTTGGAGTTTCAAAAATATTTTAATTCTTGTCTTCAGACATTTGACAACACTGCCAATATGAATATAAATGAAAATTGATTTTACCAAAAAAAAAAATTGGACATACTGCACTTGTCTTCTACAAAGTCGATAATATATTCAATTATACCACCGGCAACTTGACAAGGGTCGAGAGCGGAAGTTGGGCTAACATAAAAATAGAGAGAAAATCTGGCAAGTGTTACGGACGTATAGGAGGAGAGCCCTTGAGGGCGGCACGGCCAGGCTTGTCAATATTTGAGTAGGATTTTTAGAGGGTTGGTGTGGACGCGGGATTCGTTACATGGGCCAGATGTATGAGCATACAACATGGGCCAGATGTATGGGCATACAACATGGGCCAGATGTATGGGCATACAACATGGGCCAGATGTATGGGCATACAACATGGGCCAGATGTATGGGCATACAACATGGGCCAGATGTATGGGCATACAACATGGGCCAGATGTATGGGGCATACAACAGGGGCCAGATGTAGGGGCCGTACAACATGGGCCAGATGTATGAGCGTACAACATGGGCCAGATGTAGGGGCATACAACATGGGCCAGATGTAGGGGCATACAACATGGGCCAGATGTAGGGGCATACAACATGGGCCAGATGTAGGAGCAGTACATGGGCCAGATGTAGGGGGCCGTACATGGGCCAGATGTATGGACATACAACATGGGCCAGATGTAGGGGGCCGTACATGGGCCAGATGTAGGGGGCCGTACATGGGCCAGATGTAGGGGGCCGTACATGGGCCAGATGTAGGGGCCGTACATGGGCCAGATGTAGGGGGCCGTACATGGGCCAGATGTAGGGGGCCGTACATGGGCCAGATGTAGGGGCCGTACATGGGCCAGATGTAGGGGCATACAACATGGGTCAGATGTATGGGCATACAACAGGGGCCAGATGTATGGGCATACAACATGGGCCAGATGTATGGGGCATACAACAGGGGCCAGATGTAGGGGCCGTACATGGGCCAGATGTAGGGGCATACAACATGGGCCAGATGTAGGAGCAGTACATGGGCCAGATGTAGGGGGCCGTACATGGGCCAGATGTAGGGGCCGTACATGGGCCAGATGTATGGGGCATACAACATGGGCCAGATGTAGGGGCATACAACATGCGCCAGATGTAGGAGCAGTACATGGGCCAGATGTAGGGGGCCGTACATGGGCCAGATGTAGGGGCCGTACATGGGCCAGATGTAGGGGGCCGTACATGGGCCAGATGTAGGGGGCCGTACATGGGCCAGATGTAGGGGGCATACAACATGGGCCATATGTAGGGGGCATACAACATGGGCCAGATGTATGGGCATACAACATGGGCCCGATGTATGGGCATACAACATGGGCCAGATGTAGGGGCATACAACATGGGCCAGATGTAGGGGGCCGTACATGGGCCAGATGTAGGGGGCCGTACATGGGCCAGATGTAGGGGGCATACAACATGGGCCAGATGTAGGGGGCATACAACATGGGCCAGATGTATGGGCATACAACATGGGCCCGATGTATGGGCATACAACATGGGCCAGATATGTAGGGGCATACAACATGGCCCAGATGTAGGGGCATACAACAGGGGCCAGACGTAGGGGGCCGTACATGGGCCAGATGTAGATGGACCCACATAGGCCAGATGTAGGGGGCCTTACATGGCCCAGATGGAGCGGCCGTACATGGGCCAGATGTATGGGATCGTACTTGGGCCAAATGTAGGGGGCCGTACATGGGCCAGATGTAGGGGGACGAACATGGCCCGGATGTAAAGGGCCGTACATGGGCCAGATGTAGGGGGCCGTACATGGGCCAGATCTAGGGGACGAACATGGGCCAGATATGTAGGGGCCGTACATGGCCCAGATGTAAAGGGCCCCACATGGGCCAGATGTAGGGTGCCGTACATGGGCCAGATGTAGGGGGACAGATCCAGGAATATCCTACTTTGATGCTCATTTGCAGTAGATATTGATCTGTTTTCAAATTCTACAACTAATCCTTGTCTCATGTGACTAGCACTCGTCTTATTTTTTTTTTAAATCTTAAAAAAAAATGTCAAGGGCGACTACAATGTGCAAAGAATTTCAAAGAATTCTCAGGGTTAAGGCAAGTATTGTGTAATATCTCAACCCCGCCTTAGCTTGCTGAGACGTTAACTTCAAGTATGTAGACGAAGTGCTGACGTGAGACGCGTCTATATAAAATGATTTAAAAAAAAAAAAAACCCCGTCGCGAGCAACTTGGCCATGTAAAATTATAACTTAAGACGATGGAGTGTTGCAAAATGTTTACATTAGCTTTAATACTAATACTACTTCTTTAGTTTATAAAAACTACAGGAATAAAATGCAAATTGGTTGCTTTTTTTCTATTCGATTATTATAACACAGTGAAAACCTGTGGAAGTCCAATGAATTTTTTCCCACGTTTTCTTTAACTTGCTTTCTCTGTTTGTGTGTTTGTCTTTCCAATCAAATCTTGCGATCGAAATTTCTGGCACTTCCCAGTTAGCTAGCGCGCTGAAATTTTCAGGGAAGCTTTCTTTTGGATGACCATTGAATATTCAATTGTTATTATTACTAAATTGATCAATGGAAACATTTTATTGAGCATTTTAGACCGCTATATAATCTATATATATAATTCTCCTCTGCTAGCCATTAGAAAAAAAACCAGCGACGCGTACCTCGCGCGCAGTGAAGCGAACGATCACATGTCGCCACAGGCTTAGGGGCAGAGAATTTAGCTTGAACCGAGTTTAAACTTACAGGAGGTAGACCAGTTTGGGGGAGACGATATGGTCGAGTGGTTGGGCACACGATTGCTATCCCACTCGACACGGGTTCAAATCTATGTGTTCTAGTCAGTAACGTATTCAAACAACGTGTTTTTTACGAGTTGTCTTTTTACGAGTTGTCTTTTTACGAGTTGTCTTTTTACGAGTTGTCTTTTTACGAGTTGTCTTTTTACGAGTTGTCTTCGTTTACCCAAAAAAAGTGAAAAGATAAAATCGATAGCAAGATTTTAATGCAAACAAACAGACAAAGACTAAAAAGTAGAAAATAATAATCATTAAAAAAGTTTTAAAAAACCCACGTTTTCTGATTGAACTAAAAAGTAGAAAATAAATGCTATAGGCCCTACATCACAATAATGCAAGCGATCACTCTACTATAAGCGAGCAAAAACGTGGGGCGCCGTGATTTTCTTACAGTTTCTAATACTGTTGACTCTCTACAAGCTCCCTAATAAAAGTCAATAGTATTATCTAATCAATAGTAATATAACTTTTACTTCGGCGCCCCACGTTTTTCATCGCTTATAGTAGAGTGATCGCTTGCATTATTGTGATGTAGGGCCTATAGCATTTATTTTCTACTTTTTAGTTCAATCAGAAAACGTGGGTTTTTTAAAACTTTTTTAATGATTATTATTTTCTTGTAAAGGAAGATTTCCGACCTTCGAAGTATAAGACGATATAGCACACAATAGGCACTTTACCTCCAACAAATTTCTGTCAAAGGTTCTAATGTAGGTCCGTATTAAGATGAACACGCTTTTTTCATTCTTAGGCTAGGTTAGATTATGTTACCCTGCGACTTCAATGGAAAATCTCTAATAATTAAATGGTAGATGTTTTTCTGCTCAACTGGAAAGTAGGCTGTTTGTAGTTTAACTTACTTGCATCTATTGCCAATTTTTAGCAATGATGGTAAGGGGGGGGGGGGGGGCGAGACAACGATGAAGACACAGATCCTACTAGGAAGAACAGGTCCCAATATTGAATCAGTTGGCGGAGAACGGGCTAGATATTAACTCTCTACTGTCCTCATTAGTATTTATAACAGCACCTACTGAAGCGGAAATAACACAGAGAGAACAGAAACAAGTACACTGGGCATGTCTACTTATGGGATCCGTCCAACACGGCATATAGTAAAACATTGGCAAGTTTTTGGAACACAGAAAGGTTGGTACTTGAGCTTAAGATCATGGTTGGTATCTACGGATTAGACCTCCTGACCACCATCTTTAAACATGGTTAGTCTAAGGAAGCAGAATGTTGTGTACCACCGGACAGAGCCATCAAAAATAGCATAAGCAAGTGGAATTTTTGTATCTTTTCCAGATAAGATAAGCCCCGCCACTAATGTAAAAATTGCATGGGCGAAAAGTTAAGCTCCACTATTTTTTACCAGCTCCAATTGGTTGCATCACAACCTTGAGCTATTTCTAATGTTTGATGGACCCAAGATGTTACCTATACACAATAAGGAAGCCAGAGTTGGTAGTCCTACCACCAAAGGAGTCCCACTCCTGTTAGAGTTCTGATCTTTTGCTCCTAGGATTTCTGAGCTTTCTCTCCAAAATGGGTTGTTGTCCACAGTCTCATATGCCCCAGGATTCAAACTCATGACTTTCGGGTTACCCTCCTCATCGCTCAGCAACTTATTAAAGAAGGACTTTGAAAATTGTTTCATTTTAGGTAATCTCCCCCCACCCCCCCCCCCCCCCCCCCACACCCACTCTAAAATCAGCTAAATTTCCTATTAGGTGTCAAGATTGAGACTTACCTTTACCATGTATAGCTAATAATTGAGTGTATGCAGGTGCACAAAAAAGGCAAAACTTTTCTAGTAATAAAATATATTCTATTAATAATTATCTATTTCTAATTTAATTCTAGTAATCTAACTCAGGGGTCATAAATCATAAAAATATTATACTGTAAAAAAAACTTTAAACTAGATAAAAATACTGAGAATAGGAGGAGTAGAGCGTATACAGACAGCTGACAACTGCTTGTAGGCCCAGCTCTACTACTGTGCTGTGGCCAGCCAAGTAGCAGTAGTTCCATGCGTTCAACTACCGAAGTGCACATTTTAATTTTTTTCGAATATTTTAATAGAAAATGTCATTTTTATTCAGAAGGCATTTTTGTCTGTGTCCATTAAAACTAGATCTACTAGATCTAGATCGCTAGAGAAGTTTCAAGTACTAGATCTAGATCTAGATTCTAGATTCTAGTGCTATAAAGTACTAGTTAACTAGAAATCTAGATCTAGAATATTCTAGACTCTAACTAGTAGATTTATAGGCCCCTAATAAATTTATTAAATATAGGCCTAATTGAAAATATACCTACCTTTATAAATGTCATAACACAATATGTTTTGAAATGCATTCAACAACTAGATCTAGATAATTTAATATTATAAGGGGGCGATTCTAGAGAACATCACATAGTCAACAGACGAAGAAAGATTCGTGTTATAAATAGTTGCCGCCATTTTATTGTTTAGATCACATGACTTGGTAGGATACAGATCGTACAGCCTCAACTGTTCAGAGACTAGATATAGATCTAGTCAGAGGAAAACAAGATAGATTGTTGTCCTCACAAAAATGATATACATTAAATTATAAATGTATGTATTTTTTAAAAAAGCATAATAATTTGAGAATCTAAACTGCCGTCATTTTGTTTTTAGAAAGCTCAATTTATAGATTCTACTTAGTTACAGTAAGCCTAGTAGTTAGTAACTGGTTACCTGCTGAAGGGAAACAACCCGAAATTTAAACTCTTAAATGTACCGAAACTTATTCCCCTTCTTTCGTCGAAATGTAGAATAAACGAAAATACAGATTATATTTTAATATTATGGTTATAGCCGAACATCTAATTCATATAGGTTACTTATTTTGCCGACTTATCGAGTTTTACAAAAATAATAATACAAAATAAATTATGTGTTCAAAATTAAACTCTGTAAACATAAACAAAGTAAAATGCATTTTAATTATATCACACTGGAAACAATTGTCAATATTGTTAAATAATAAGTATATAAAAAATAAATATATTAGAAAATACAATATTAATAATTTAATTAATACATTTGAACCAAACAGACAATTCAAATGAGCAGTAATGCACAAAAGTTCTTCAACATTATTCTCCACCAATTTAACACTGTCATTCACAGACAAGACGAAATCTGTTACATGAAGTATAAATATAATACCACCAAACCCATCAGAATATAAATAAACCATCACATAGCCTACAGCTACCATTACTGTCATAAAACAATTGCCACAGTCTCACATCTCTCAAATGCCATGTTGGGAATACTGGTCCAGGAATCCTTCTCAGGATCATAACACTCACAGCTGTCTAGAGTAACAGAGGGGCAAAAACCATTCAAGCCAGCCAACTCCACATCTTGAGATCGTCCACCAAAGACGTAAATTTTCCCATCTACCAATGCTACACCTGAGCCTGCCCGACTGATGGACATGGAAGACACAACCGTCCATGTGTTCTAGAGGATTAAAGATAAAAGTTAAACACATTTAATACTGCTAGTATTTATTTTATACTGCTAGTATTAATTTTATACTGCTAACATTTGTTTTTTAATGTTAATATGTATTAAAGTTGTCAGCAAGAGAGTGAATCTGTTTGACCAGCAAAATAGCATGCTGTAAAACTTGTTACTGTAGGATAAGTTTTTTAAAGTCTTCATAAAAAATTATTTATCTGGAACTTTTCAGCTAGTGGGTATTGTATTGTAACTAGTTAACAAGTAACTTCACAGCAAACCTAACCCTTTTTAAAAGTACTAAATAGTAAATATAAAATAGAATGGTCTGTCCTATCTCAAGTACAAGTAGTTAAAGTAATTAAAGCATTATAGTAATAAACTAATAATCATTAAATTAGCCTGTACTGGCAAAACCATTGATAATCATTACTGTTTAATTTGATAAGTGTTGATATATGCATGGTTTTACAGATGTTAAAAAATCATAAATTTACAAAAACATGCAAATATCATAACAGGAAATGGTATACAAATACAGAGAAAATAATGATAAGAGCAGTGGTATAAAAAGAGGTAAAAATGTGATAACGGGAATAGTGTTGAGAAGGTTCCATGCCAAGGTGAAGTAGTAAACAGGTAATACATGCACAATTTTAAAACTTTTCAACTGGAAAAATGATCATTAAAATTATCAAATTTAACCCATTTTCTAATTTAATAAGGCTCAGATTCTAAACATTTAGTATTCTACTCATTTTGACTTTTTAAAATATGTATAGCTAAAATAAATTTTAGGTAACAAAGATCTTTGCTGAGGGATTTGACAATTATTGAATTATTTAACAAAAATGTGTGTAAACAATTGCAATAAGAATTTTAAGTACAAGCATTTCAATTTCTCACCTCTCGTATAGAATATTTTTCTACTGATTTCAAAGAACCCTTGTACTCATTGAAACCTCCAATAGCATACAAGTATCCATCACAGGCAACCAATCCATGATATGCCCTTGGAAACTTGAGTCTGGCAAGGGGACACCACTCCCTAGTCACAGGATTGTAACTCTCTACAGCATCAGATTCTGTGTACAGCTCTGACAGACCTCCAGCCACATAGATGAGCCCTGTCAAATAGATCAGACGTCAGGTATTCTGAGCTAAACACAGCTTATTGCACATTTTTAAAATACAATAAATAATTTACTACACTGATCTAGTGTAATTTTATAAACATGGTGATTTTAATTCAATGCAAAAAAACAAACAAAATGTTAATAAAAATAGATAAAACATATTAAAAAATATAAATAATATTAATGAAAACATAATAAACAATTAGAAGATACCATTTAAAAACATTTTAACACCTGTTGCCTTAACAAATTTAAATTCATATAGAGTTGTAGATATTTTCAACAAGGGGTGGAGACTGATAATGAAAAAAAAACGTCTTAGCTAAAAAAAAACAAGGGTTGTGTGGTAGGCACATGATTACTAACCCCAAGGTCACAAATTTCATTCATATACTTCAATCAGTAAAACATCACTGTCTATCCACCTCTGATGGGTACCTGAATGAGGGAAGGAAAGCAACTTGGCACAGTGTTGATGACACTATCCCTTCATGTGCCAAGGTCAATGAACAGGGGAACTCTACTTTATCTGCTCATGGTCTGTCTAGTCTGAAAAGGTTCTTTACTTCTCTTTTTTTAATAATAACACAACTAAAATTAGAGGATCAAAATATAACCTACCTTCATATTCAACTGTAGCCATTGAAAATCTTGGATTTGGCATTTTATCAATTTCCAGCCACATCCTTTCAACTGGATCATATCTTTCAACAGAAGCGCCTATTTGAGAGCCAACATATCCCCCTATGGCATACACGTAGCCATTCAGTGACACAAGGCCAAGGCCGTACCTGGGCTGATTCATGCTGGGCAGTGAGATCCAGTAATTTTCATCAGGGTCAAAGCTTTCAACTGAATCTGATATTAAAGATGCATCTTCTCCGCCTGCCACGATGATCTTTCTGTCAAGCACTGCCAACCCGTGACTGCTGCGAGGGTTGTTCATACCATGGAATGGCTGCCATTTTTGGGAGAACACATCATACCTTTCAACACTGTCTAATGTATTTATACTACTAACAAAAGACTGTTTAACTCTTGAAAAGCCACCTATCACATAAATGTATTTCTTTGCATTTTGTCTGGGCCATGTAGCAGTGTTCACATTTTTAATTGGTAAGTAAAGACTTAGGGTTTTTAACATTTTAAACTTGTCATGTTTAGAGGCAAAATTTGTCAATGCTATTTTGATACCATGATCGTTGCATGAGTCAATTATACAAAAAAGTTGTTTTTGTGAGACAAGATTGATTCTGACTTGGTTCAAAATTTGAAGAAGGTACTTTCTTCGAGAAACTACATCATGTAATATCCAATCCACTGCAGCTTCAAGAACCTAAATTATGGGAGAATAATTTTTTTTAATAATTAGTCAACCTAAACTGGAGCTATTTTGCTTTATCACTACAATTTTAGAAATAAAATGTTCAAGTCAAACCATGTATATACATAATCCATTTACAGTACATCAAGGAACAGAAGGAATCTCACCTGCACTTCTGATTCTATATGCAGCTTTTCACTTCCTAATATAGCTAGGACTAGAGGTAATTCCAATTGCGTGAATTCACCTGCTTTAGTTGCTAAAATGAAATTTTTTTCAATGTAGAGTTCTGACTGACGTTTCATGGAAGTCAGGTTATGAGCATCAGCAAAAGCATATATGCCTAGAACAAAAAAATAGCAAAGGGTCTATATGAAATTATTTAGTATATAATGCACCTATTAAAAAGTGATACATTTCTAAGATCAAAATATTTTGAAACATTTTATTAAATCAATAAGTCTTTCATAATTAATTCATTTTTTTTAAACTTACCAACACAGTTATATGGTGTAATGTTTTCAATTAAAAATTCACTGCATATGTCAACAACATCATCAATTCCTAGCATATCAGCCATAGCCAGTATCTCTTGACATGTGTCAACATCAACTTTAATATAACCTTGAGAAAAATGCAAGATTTGCATTAAAATGAAAACAATGCAGTTATATGCCATGTACCAAATAAGCACAACGTCTTAAGAAAATAACAAATTATTTTTGGACATAGATAGTATTAGTACAAGAAGAAAATAATTTAGTTCTGCATTGAACAATTGAACTAAAATTTCATCACTTTAATTAAATACGAAGGGGCTTATTGGTGAAATATTTTGTAAAGACCAGTAAATAACTATATACAAATCATTATGAATACTAGTGTATTTGTTATAACTTGCATGATGAAAAGTAAATGGATGAAGAAAGGAAGACAAAACATTGCAATGAAATTTTCATGAAATAGGTCAATCAAGAAGGAAATACTTAATACTGGATTGGTATGGCCAGAGATATTAAAGAAAATATAGGCCTATACTATTGTGTATATCAAAATATTTATTGGCCTTACGAATAATTTCGAGACTATTCTTAATTCTTGGTTGTGTCCATTCAATGGACTCAAGGCAATTGCAAGTAAAATAAAAATTTTAAATGCAGTGGATTTTAATTTTTTGGTCTTTCTTTCTACCTGTGTACATGAAGGAAATAATTGTATTGAATATTCCAGCAGACATCTCATGCAATTCTATTTCGCTTCTTTTTTGCTCCTCCATTCCCGATAGAAACATTGCTTTAAAAAATGGACTGGAGGCAGCAAGGACATTTCGGTGAGCAGGGAACCGCTTCCTTCCAATCAATATGGCAGGAAACAGATTCAACTCTCAAACATCTACTTTTAGGGTCGATTTTCGCCAATTTTCAAAGTAACAAATATTGACATATTATATATCAATTTTGTTGCTTACCAATCGAGGAATTCAAAAATATAAAAATTAATAGCACTAGACATTTACATCACGTTCAAAATTTAGATTAACCACACTCACTCAAATGACATTTTTTTTTACATCTAAATGTAGTAAGGTCTAAAATCCACGAAATTCACAAAATTAACAATATAATTACACAGAAATGTCACTTAGGCATAAATTTATTTGTAATTATGTCAAACTTTACAAAATATACCAGTTTATAACTTATTTCTATAATTATTCTTGAAAAAAAAAACGACCGCTATCCCCTTTAAAAAATGTTCAAAATTCTGGCTTTAAAAACACTCTGGGGAAGAAAAAAATAACAGAGTTAAATATAGAAGGTCTATATAAAAAATATTATTAGTAAAATATGTCTATATGCCAATTTTTATTATAGTTGCAGCATTTACATGGCTAATTATAATTGTTTAGTACTTTATAAATTAATTTAAAGTTACGACTGTCTGTGGCCTCATTCAAATAGTGTGGTGTCAGTGAACAGGGTGTTAGGGCCTGATACGATTTCATTAGAATTGGTAATGAACAGAATGTATCATTAGAACTGGCATATAAAAACAATGTTGATGATAGATGCAGTAGTTTTAATGCTACTTATAATAGATCAAAATGACAAACATAATTAAAACCTAAGAATCTGGAAGCGGTGACCTCATTTTACTGACACGTTTGTCAAATAGTTAGTAAAATCGATCTAGATTAGATCTAGAATCTACGTAATTTTGAAAATACGCTAGATCTAGAAGCAAAATCACTTTTAAAAACTAAAGTTAGTGATTAGTTCTGTAATGAAATTGAAATCCACAGCTTATATGTAAGTATCTTTTGATTTAAAAAAAAAATACGCGTAGTTCTAAGAAAAAAAATTTCTACGGTGTACTCGATCCCTATCCCAAAACGTGCCAGCCATATCGCATGCGTATTCAGCTACTCAGCTGCTTATCAAATCTTCGAATTTTAAATTTATATAATAAAAGTAGGTCACCCTAAAAAAAAGAGTACAATGGCTCCCGTTTTCACGACAGCCGTCACTCGATTCATAATTTACAGAGTTATAATGTTCTACTTTCTTTTGGCTATAGATTTGAAGAAATTTAAATTTGTTATTTCTCATGTGTTCCAACAATTGTACCTAATTTTAATAAACATTACATTAGTGAGGACTCGGTTCTTTTTAGGATTAGCCCTCGACACTATACAGACTATTGCGAAGAAACAGACTCGCGCGAATGTCGTGCGTAGGCTGGTTCAGTGGCGAAGGTTAGAAGCCAATTTGAGACGGAAAGTTTTTACTTTGAAATAATTACATTATCAATTAATTTCGATTTAAAACAAATGGCTTAAAGTCAAAAGTAAACTAACATTTAAAAACTTTGTTATTCGCAGTGTACTCAAGATTCTCGTGTTTTAAAGATAAGTCTAGTTTTACTACGTGTGCGTGCATGGTGCGAATACCGATTTTCCGCGACAGAAAATCATTAAAAATAAAAAAAAAAGTATCTACGGCAAAATAATAATTATATTTTACAGAATTAAATAGATTTAACTTAACTGTTATTTAAATACATGCTTCGGAGTAAAAAAATACAATTTTATATCCGTAAAAAATTAACTGAAATTCCCGCTTTCAGCGACGCCGATGTGTCGTAATTTTCGGCAGTCATTTTGTTCAAATTAAAGTAAAAAACGCATTCAAATATACTTTTTTTTACTTTCATAATTTACAGCAATCATTTCTAATGAAAAATCCATAAAAAAATAATAGTTATTTTTACAAAATATTATTTCTTACCTTATTAGTGCAGTACACGTACTTTCCAAGTAGATCCATTCCGTCTAGATTTGCATACTTCGCATCCTTCGCCGCGGCACAAAATGTCATAAAAAATGAATTCCACAAAAATGTTGCTAACGAAGCTTGTAAAAACCTTGCTCTATTTATCAGTATAAACAAAATCCCCGAACGATGTCTGGTTAGAAAGTTTATGAACGGCGAAGACCGAATATGCATTTTGCGGTACCAATCTGTTTCCTGCCATATCGTTACATCACAGAAATTATTTTCAGTCCAGATGGATTGCAAATTCTCTAATAATCGCCTAGGGTAACCTGGAGAAGATGTTTCAAAAATATCAGGGGCTTTAGAGCTCATTTTAGAAAAGTAGTTGTTAACTAACTCATTGACGCTTAGTTTACTAAGTTTACTGCTTTACTACTAGATCTAGATCTAGATCAAGTTTGTAAACAAATGTTTCAGGTTCATCTAAATAACGTAACGTTACCGAAAAATGTGAATAATCTATCCCCTAAACACTGTTCATATTTATTCATAAATTATTATAACACCTGTGTCAACTATCATATATCTACAAAGTGGATTTTTATTTGACCAACTTTAGAAACGTCTAGATCTAGCTAAAAGGTATTAGGGTTAGATTTAGTGGTCATCCATTTATGGTCGGAAAAAAAAACATCGCTCAAAAATTAAAAGCTATACAATTTTAATTTATTTAATTTAATTCAATTTAATGTATTTAAAAAAAACGGTAACAATTGTAGGCACGAAGGCCTTTTTTCACATTGGCCGTTTAAACAAATAAAACAACAATTCAATAACAGCATTCAATATTGTATTCTGTCTCATTTGGCGTCTCCCCCCCCCCCTCCCCACCTAAGGTCTGCGCCGCTCGTTACTACCCCACAAGTTAGGTATCTATTGATAAATAATTGGCTAAAAGATTAGATATAGGGCTTACATATATTTTTAGGGAGGAGCAGTAACAGATGCGTCTCGAGGTGGGTGCGGGGGGTGCGAACCGCACCAAGTGACACAATTTGGGTGGGGGGGGGGCATTAAGGAAAACATTTGCAAAAAGTGTGCGCAGATTAAAGAAATCCCTTGGAGGGGTGGGGGAGGGGGACGACACCTTCTGCAAAACTTACAGAAGCAAAAAAGTCATGTTAAATATTTTAAATAATTAATACGTCAACCAATAGCTGTAGTAGGGGGTGACGCCATATCTAATGATTTACTATGAAAACGATACTTTTCCACTTGAATGAAATGTGAATAATTATCTGTGTACAAATCTACGCCATTAGGCAAAATGGAAGGAATGGGGTGACACCTGTTAAACAATGATACAAATTGTTAATTTAATTGTGCGAGTGGACTTCGCCTAAAGTCGATAATCTTACATTCGTTTTGATATTGGTTTGTAATGCATGATTTATTAAATGATTCGTATTAAAATTATGCCTGCCAGTAGACCCTATGTCTGTTTAGACAGTGGACGAATGTGGGGCTAATGGTAATATTTTGGTCGTGATATTTATTGTTTTACATTATAATTAATAGAAAAATATCAATTTTAGAATATGATTTAATACTCTCTCAAATTAATTAAAACAGTTTCTGATGTTTTTAGCTTAACATGTCGTCACATATCAGCCTACAACCCCCCCCCCCCCCCCCCCCCTCAAAATTGCAGTTGAATTATTCTTAAAATACGCTATTTTCCCAAAAATCTTGTCTGAACTTTATCAACATAGAGTATTTTAATCAATTCCTAATACAATTTATTACAACCGTTTTCTAAAACGCGAAATAACGGCTAAAACTCGTTTTCTAACATTGCTTTTTTAAATGCAAAAGTGTGATGTCACACCATCTGAACCCCCCCCCCCCCCCCTCCCCCTCATCACAACCCTCTACGAGAATGACGTCATTTATGGACGACTCCCTTATTTGTGTGTGAACAACAGCAGAAAGCAAAACCAGAAATACCATGAACAAAGTATCTCATCTTTTAAAATTTTTATATAGATCTAGTCTATTTTTAGTAGGCCTATACGTTGGTGACCCCTCAGAAAACCCGTTGCGACGCCCTTCGGGGTAGTGACCCTCAGGTTGGGAACCCCTGGCCAGGGAGAGTCATGACGGACGAAAACGATTATCAGCCAGTAACAGCTACTCTAGATTTTAAAAATCTGAATGACTTCCCTTAGCAAAGGACATTGGCGCAAACTACAAAGTTAAGAAAAATGGAGGAAGATAGAAAATCTTCCAAAGAATCAACAAAACAACGCTTTAGAAATAAAAGAACAAGGTTCATGATTGTTTCCATTTTAATGCGTATCATACCCTTCTAGATCTATGGTTTTAACCTTTAATATATATAGAATCTATGTCCTTTTGTTTTTCTTACTGTATTTAGTATTTGTGAGTTTGGATCGGAGATTCTCCGAGTTCAGTCCACCTTGTCACCTTGTTAATCTGGAGTGGATTTTTATTAAAATTATTACGAATATTACGTTATCTCGCGCATTGGTGATGCGTTGTCCACTGGTGAAATAAGATTTAGATTTCGTAAAAAAGATTCTTAGGGTAAACTCTATTTCACGTAATTTATTTGCCTCTTCAGTCTTCACCTCCACTCTACTAACTAAACTAAAGTTTAGCATATTTTATTGGCCGATTCTAGTCGGAATAAGATACGCATGCGCAATGGAGAGAAACTATGACTTGCCTTAGCGGCGATGTTTTCGATGGTACTGCGCATGCGTGTGTTTACAACCGCAGAACCCTAATACTAGGCTTGTCGGTATCGGCCGAGATCGCGGTAAAAACATGACCCGAAATCTCCCATTACTTTCTGATACCGGGCGCACGAGATTTAGTTTTGCATACTAATAAGTTTTTAATTTATGGTAATTAATTAAGTTTAAAAGGTCATTTCCTAATGTTAAATGAAAAGTAGAATGGTTTTCCAGTTGTTTTGATGGCTTAGCGATCTGATTGCATGCTGTCTCTGCTTTGGTCTTACCGCGGTATAAAGGTTAACTTCAAATGCTTTAAAAGCGCGATTTTTGAAAAGTTTCCATTTAGATAATGAAAGTTTCCAAAGCAGATACATCCCATTTTTATAGAAATGATATTTATTTTTGGATATTTTGACTTTGACATTAGTAAATACTCATTTGAAAGTAGTCACCGTAAGTAGGTCACGTTGCCCCCATTGACTCCAATGTTATATTTCTTCATCCCGATCTGCCGGCTTTTAGTTTTGATACACTAACAACAGTATTCTTATGTAATGTACAAACAAATCTCCTAATTGTTGTTTTAAACATATTTTAATATAGATCTACCTGTCTTTCATTTTTTCAACTCTGGTTCTAGTTTTGCTTGAAGTAAAATTTTGCTGAGTCAGACATAGGTTACCTGTCTGTTGCTAGAATACACTACACTAGCTATGTGCTAACTGTAATTTTAAGTATTCAAGTTCTACTTACCCTTACTTAGTTATATTTATATGCTGAAAATCAGAATTCATACACAATACACAAAAACATTGATCAGATAACTTCAGTTCACTTTTAACAAAATGGCTTAAAGATAGACTCTACTTCACCTGCCCAAAATAATAAGGCAATTATATGCACATTACAGTGTTCAAGTCATTTACTTTAGATTGCTAACTATGTAGTTCTTTCATTCACTGTATTTATATAAAGCATTGCTTTAGAAACTTTTTCATATTTGCGCAGCACAGTTTTATAACAAAATGTCTTAAAGATGGACTCTACTTCACCTGCCCAAAATAATGGGGCAGTTATATGCAGTTATATGCACATTTCAGTGTTCAAGTCATTTACTTTAGATTGCTAACTTTGTAGTTCTTTCATTCACTGTAAAACATTGCTTTAGAAACATTTTCATATTTGCGCAGCACAGTTTTTTTGGGGTTATGGAAGGAAGCCAACACAAAAATATACTTCTGTATTAATTTTATTCATTTCAACAGCATATACAAGTTCTATATATCATTCTAGCTCAACTCTGCAAATATGAACAAAATACAACTGCAAGTAAAATAACTATGCTCAATTTATTCAGGTATACCATGACTTGTCACAATTGGCCAATGCAAAAGCAAGGGCATTCCACCCCTCACAAAAAAATTCGCTAAAAAAAAACTATTTGAGCTAGACAGAAAATCTTTTTTGTTTTGTTTTCATATAGTTGAGCTCTACAAGAATATGTAATTTTTATTTTTATATGATGATTAGTGTTTTTTTACCAAAATCCCTACTAATACCAACCCTAATCCTATCCTTAACCCTAGCCCTAATCCTATCCTTAACCCTAGCCCTAATCCTATCCCTAACCCTATCCCTAATCCTACCCCTAGGCCCTAACCCTCATTCTAGCCCTAACCCTAGCCATAGGTCACTGCGCATGCGCAGAACTATCTTTTGCCGAAAAATCTTATTCCGAGTAGACACTTCGTATTTTATTAGAACTGAACACAACTGGAACACTTTTTTTGAATCACAAAAAAATAATGAAAAACCGTTATGTTAAGAAAACACCAGGTGCATAGAATCTAGAGATCTAGATTTATCTAGAATTTTTTCTTTGTCTTTAATTTTTTTTATAATTTTGTCAAAAATTGAGAATACAAATTTTAGGTAGGTCTAAAACTCCATTTTAGCGTATTTTATTCCCCGCTTCATGTTCACCTCCTTATTAGAAACACAACCGAAACGTTAGGAAAACACTAGATCTACTTATTTTTTTATGAATGTGATTTTTAATTAGAAAAGGTAAAAAAAACATAAAAAAGCATTAGAACTGTTCCAATTAGATCTAAATATCGCGAGAAAAATCCTTACATGGTCGTGGGTTCACAGTAAGTTCACATTGACTTTAATTATCAGCAAACGTCATAACTCGGGCAATAGCTGTTTGAAATTGTGTTGGCCTCACTTTTTGGGGTCATTGATAGCTCATAAATGTTTATTTATAGTATCATGACTGGTAGATACTTGTAACAATACAAACTTAACCGCCTTGCAATTGTGAGTTACGTTTACGTACTTCACCCATTGCCATGAAAATCCTAACTGACACAAAGCACATTCAATATTCTAAATTTGGATTTTTCTCAAGTTTTGACAATAGTAAATTATCAAAATCTAAAACAAAGTCAGTCTCTTTATTTTTTTTATTCATTTTTATTCATTTGTTAAAACAAAAATACAAACAAATAAATAAATCGTGTTTTCCTAATGTTTTGGTGTGTTTTGGTTATTATAATAAAATACGCTCAACTGGAGTTAAACGAGAAGCAGAGAATAAAATACGCTAAAATGGAGTTTTACCCAAATTTTATTGTTAGGCTTATCTAGAATCTAGATTAAATTAAAATGATGTGACCAGCTGTTTTACACTTAAAAATTATGTTCGTGTTAAGATTTTCATTGATATGGGTAAAATATGAACCTGGTGTATTGTTGAATTATGCTAAATTGTAGTTCTACCGAATCTAGATCTAATATTTAAGATCTAGGCCTGCTAAATCTAGACCTAGATTTATTTTATTCTAAAATTAATCCTTAGGCAGTCATAGGTCTACCGTTAAATAGAATTGACATTCAAAATAATAATAATCAATAATCAAAGCCTATCACTTTACATAAGATATCACTTCTGCTAACAGAAGGCCTTATAAATTAACAATTAGGTCTATGGCCTGTTGATTAAGCTTGAATCTGTTCTTTAAAAAAGACTAAGCTGTGACTGGATTAAATTTTTTATGAAGTATAAATATAGAGGGGAACGATATTTCAAGTAGACACTTTGTATCCCTAGCTGAATGAACCATTGAACACTCAGCGTGGCCTCAACAAACCAGCGGGCTTGTTGCATTGAGTTAAATTTAAACTCAAAACAATAGGCTAATATAAACAAATCTCATTTAAATCGGATGGGTTTGTGGTGAATTGTAGATTGTAGTTATAATACTGAGTGTTAATACACCATTACAAAAAAAATAATTATTATAACTGCGTGAATAATAAGGCAAATTTTCAAGAGTAAATGACCATGTAATTTTCTATAAAATAAACCAAATCAGAAAATGTAAAGGTTAGGGACAGACATTGTGAAGGTACAATAACTTCAATACTTTTAACATGATTAAATTTTTAAAGTTTTGTATCGATCCTGGTAACTTTTTTCTAGATACATTCATTCTAAATTAATAAATTACTAATGCTTCTGCCTATGTTTAGGCCAACAAAAATATCTTTTAGAATAAATGAGAAAACAATTTTGTATCCCTAGTGGGTTTTTTTTACAATGGTAATGAAGATAGGCTGACCTTGATTGCAATTTTTTCTGGTAAAAATGGCTTGACTGAAAAATAATATGTATGCAAAATTGCCTATGCATATTATAAAATGATTGATTTTAGGTAGTTAATTCAAAATGCCTACCTGTGTACCCAGTACACTATCATTGACTACCAGCCACACTATCATCACAAATCACAAAAAAAAGCATAGGCCTAGCTAATTTTAATTATAATAATGTTAAACATAAAAATTCTAGATTTTCCTAATTGGAAATGTTACTGTAATTCATAGATGTATGCTTTTAGTTTTTCAAAATAAATAATAAAATCATAATACCACCCCTAAATGATTACAATGTGCATAGGCATGGCTATATTTTGTTAACTCTTTCATATATAGGTCCCAGGCCTAAACATTGTAATTTGGCTAAGCAGCCTACTTTGAGATTAAGGCAGTCTGGGTGACAATTAAAAAAAAAACAAGTTAATGCATTCTTACAATTACATTCTTCATCAGACTAGTATTTTCATAATGGTTTTGTGAAATTGATGACATGCATATTTAATCTGACAAGTTCTTCAAAGTTGTTTCAAAATCAACATGCTTCTGAATAAGTTAAATTAATGGTGGATTTCTAATGGTAGTTGTCTCCACTTTTTACCTATTCCAAGTAGGCTACACTTTTTTTATCCAATCATTTGTGTTTACTAATATTTTGAATTGTCATACTTACAGCGAAGTCTTGGATGATGTTCTCTCCTCCGAAAATCAGAATGAGCCACCCACTAAAGAATCACATAAAAGACAAAGACGTGAGGATGCAATAGCAGAGAGTAAATGTGAAAACAATGCTTTGGTGTTGTTGAAGGCACCATTGACTGCATCTGGTCAAGATGAAGATCTGGTTACACCAGCAGCTATGGTCGCAGTTAGCTCAGCACAGACAGTACCAGGGGTAAAACTTAGTGTAGACTTACACTAGTAGATTTTGATTAGACATTCACTTTTTTGGTTGAATAAATTAATTCTGCAGATAGTTTTTTTTTTTCAATTTTATAATAACTAAAAGTTTAGCAGATGATAATTGATATGTTTTAAAATTTAATGCACACTTTTTCAAGACAGAGTAGTCAAATCTCAATTATTAGTATAATATTGTATGAAATACATCATCTACTTTCATTGTATCTGTGTGTATATATTTGTGTGTGTATATACATAAAAATGTCTAACAAACTTAAATATTTTTTATTAGGCACCTCGCATATTATTAATAAACCAGCAAGCAAATGCTGAAGCTCCACACCAACCAAGACATGAAACATCTATGTATTTGCATCTTCTTCGCACACCACCATCCATAAAAAATAACAGACTTTATCTCAGAAGAGAAAACAGTGAAGAATATAGAGGTTTTGGTATGTACTATATTCTAAATTAGCAAATTTTAATATGATGGTATTGAATTTTTAAAAAAGTTCATTGTGAAATGTTTCATAATTTAAAAAGAATTAGTTAATTATAGATAGTTTTGTTAACCTAAAAATTATGTTTATAGATCGCTTTGCCAGAGTATCTGATGAAATAATTCTGCGAATATTTCATTACTTACCTCGCCACATGATGTGCACATGTGCTCTGGTGTGCAGAAGATGGGCCCGTATGGTGTAAGTATTCTTCCTATTGATTGAAATTTCATGGGTTACTAGATCTATATGCTCTGGCAACAACTACCTAGCTCAGCCTACTTTTATGTTTTTGAAACCCAAATTAAAACCAACATCATCATCAAATGTATATTTTTTAAAATAATTTTAAGTTGTTTTTTGTAACTAATTTCCAACTTTTCAAGGATACATTCATGTTTTTTAAATTCAGATAGCAGCTCACAATATTTTAACACATTTTAATAAACTTCAGCTATTGACTGAATTATTTCTCCTATATTGTTAACATTATACTTTTTTAAAAACCAGAAATGGGAATGTAACAGCCTATTTAATAGTGCTCACATTGTGTTGAGAAGGTATATTTTTAAAAATCTGTTACTGAATCATGTAACGTTATTTATCATGCTATCAGTTGTGATGTTTCCCTCTGGAGGAGAATGGACATGGCAGGCAGACCTCTAAAAGTTGGCATTCTTAAAATATTACTAGAAAGAGGAGTAGAGGTGCTTCGTCTCAATAGATCAGAGGCAAGATTTTATTTTTTTAAATGTGTTAAAAAATCTTTTTCTCTTGAAAAATTCTTAATATACAATTGACACTATTAAATCTCACTTATTCAGATATATTTCCTCAGGTGATGGGAGATTTCTCTAGCACAGTACAAGGTGCACCAGATCCTAGAAGATCTCCTTTGTCGGAAGACAGGTTTGTTAGTTGTGGGTTGTTTTTTTTTACATTACTTTGTTTGCAACCATTCTTTTTTCTAAAAGGATTTTCCACTACAAAACTTTGGTGCCACTTAGAACCATGTTGGTTTTCAATCTTTGGAAAGCGTTGTACGAACATGACCTGTATGTGAACTTCAGTGCTACTATTTCAGTAACAATTTGTAACATATCAGCAGAAAAACAATGTAATGTACTGTTTGTATTTTTAATCAGGATGTACCGCTTACAGTTACTTGATATGAGTATGGCAAATGTGCAGACCAGTCTTGTTGAGTCTATGTTAAGGTTTTGTCCAAATCTTCGGAAGATTAGTCTAGAAAACATTCCTGTAACAGAACAGCTGCTGATGTAAGTCAGATATTATTTAATTGCTATTTTATGTGAAAAGTTTTAGTGTTTATGTCAGTTAAATAATGGGATGTAGAGTCCGTAGAACTCAGCCCTTATGGGTACCTATTTCACTTTAGGGAAAGTAAAGCTAACTAGGCATAGCGCTGATCACACCATCCCTTCATATGCCATAAGCAAGAAAAAGATAATTCTACTTCATCTGCCCTGTAGATCATACAAAGGGGCAAACATTTTTAAAACAGTTAATTTAAAAAACCAGTAATCGTGGTGTAAATAGTCCATACCTTTGTTTTAAAAAGTATATTTGAATTTCAGAAATCTAGGTGTAAATAGTCCATACCTTTGTTTTAAAAAGTATATTTGAATTTCAGAAATCTAGGTGTAAATAGTCCATACCTTTGTTTTAAAAAGTATATTTGAATTTCAGAAATCTAGGTGTAAATAGTCCATACCTTGTTTTAAAAAGTATATTTGAATTTCAGAAATCTAGGTGTAAATAGTCCATACCTTTGTTTTAAAAAGTATATTTGAATTTCAGAAATCTAGGTGTAAATAGTCCATACCTTTGTTTTAAAAAGTATATTTGAATTTCAGAAATCTAGGTGTAAATAGTCCATACCTTGTTTTAAAAAGTATATTTGAATTTCAGAAATCTAGGTGTAAATAGTCCATACCTTTGTTTTAAAAAGTATATTTGAATTTCAGAAATCTAGGTGTAAATAGTCCATACCTTGTTTTAAAAAGTATATTTGAATTTCAGAAATCTAGGTGTAAATAGTCCATACCTTTGTTTTAAAAAGTATATTTGAATTTCAGAAATCTAGGTGTAAATAGTCCATACCTTTGTTTTAAAAAGTATATTTGAATTTCAGAAATCTAGGTGTAAATAGTCCATACCTTTGTTTTAAAAAGTATATTTGAATTTCAGAAATCTAGGTGTAAATAGTCCATACCTTTGTTTTAAAAAGTATATTTGAATTTCAGAAATCTAGGTGTAAATAGTCCATACCTTGTTTTAAAAAGTATATTTGAATTTCAGAAATCTAGGTGTAAATAGTCCATACCTTGAAGTGATAAACTTGTGCATGTGTCAGGGAGCAACTGCCAAAGGACTGAAATGTATTTTTGATAATTGTGCCAAGTAAGTTTAAAAGCTGTTTCAATTTTTTATATTCATTTTAAAATACTTAAGCTGTGCTTTTTCCAGTATTTTAAATTTTTTTATAAATGAATGATGCTTACTATCTTAATTCTTTTTATTTTAAAGTCTTACAGAAGTTAACATTGCTTGGACTTGCCTGCCAGAGGCTGATATAAAAGCCGTTATTCAGGCATTACCTGAGCAGTTAACTTCTCTTGATATTAGTGGAAATAGGGAGAAAATTGATGACCATGGTAAGTTTTGTTATTGTTCAATGAGATCATTTTTCACCATCATACATTTAAAGACAATTATAAAATTTGAATGAGATCACTTCTCATTTTTATGCATTTAAAAAAGAAAAAGGCATTATATAAGTAAGTTCTGGCTGTAAATCTAGTCTTAACAAATTTCAGACATTGCAACTATATGTAAAAGATGCCCCAACATGATAGACCTTGATCTCAGCGACTCTACAGAAATTACCAATGATTCTATTGATGTTATTGCTGAGAATCTTTTTAGTCTTCAGAAGATTTCCCTCAGCCGTTGCTATGCCATTAGCCCCAATAATTTGATGTAAGTATTACTTCACCCTTTACTATTCAGGGCATAAAAATTTTCTATTTCCGCTATGGCCAGGTAGAAAAGACAACAGATTTTTCAACCACAGCACATTAAAAAAAAATTTTTTTTTAAATAACCATATTCATGTTTAAAAATTTTAAAAGTATTATACATAAAATGGGTCTGAGTTTATTATGTGTAATGTAAAATAGCATAATAGTTCACTAAAAATAAATAAAAATTATATTAATTCCAGAAAAACATTTACAAAAAGTTACTTCTAATATTATTTCTATTAAAAAAATTGATTACATGCTAAAATAAAATTCAACTTAGTCACTGGAGCTGGTTTCTTTTTCTGTATTAGTTACATTAAAAATAAAGCCAGATTCAGCGGCAGTTTAATTAGATTTAATTTCACTAATTATTATTTGCCTGTAATTTTGTGGAAAAAAATTCTTAACATTAGAAAAATCGTAGAAAATGAGCCACTAGTGATAGAACAACAAGAAAACAATGTAAATAAAACTTATTTCCCGCTTCCGTCGGTATATACAAAATCTCATTACAAACTAGACTTTCATTCCTATGCGTGCACCAGACTGAACCACACAAAAAAATCTGGGCCACTGTGGGCGCATAATACTGTTACGGGTTAACTGCAAGATTAATGATCTTTGATGATCTTAAACAATTACACTGGTATTATTTTTCTTTGGTTGAAGTAAATTTTTATTTATTATTGGCTTATTAAGAGCTAATCAAATTCGATAATTGGTTGTCTAATTTTATAAACAGATTCTGATTCATCATCCTTTTTTATCGCAACCAGTGTACCATCCACCTTAAATTACTGGTGTGAAATGAGTAATGAATTAACTATATCTGAGCAACTCATTTTTTAAAAACTTTGTCAAAAGGAATACCTGCTTAAAATTTCAGGACTTTGACTCAGTTGAGAGACCTAAAGATTATAAATGTGTTTGGGATGATGCGAGATACCTCCATCAGTGTACTGGAACAGAATATGAAAAGGTACAGGGTAAACAAGGAACCTTTTTCTACCATAGCAAGGCCAACACCATCTAACTGCCGCAAAGTTTATATATGGGATGTTTCACCTAGGAATGGCCCTTGTTTGTAAATTCACATTCCTCTGATTTTAAAATGAAAATGTTACTGTTCTATTTTAATACAACCTGTTACATTTGACATAAGGCTATCTGGTTAAAGGCTAAACTATTTAGAGATTTTTAACTTTTTGTGTTTATACATTTTGGCATACAAGTTTTAATTTTTTAAATTTGTATTTTCCTTTTTAAAATGTATTTTTACTAATAGAGAGGTTGAATTTGCTTCTTTATAATGGTAAAAGTGAAAAAACTAGACTTGTTAATTTTATTTTTAATTGGGCATACATACTTTAGGATCATGGTTTGTTTTTATTGTGCAGTTAAAAAAAAGTGTACACATTTTAGTTAAAATAATTTTTTTACTGGTATATAGTAAAAAAAAATGTATAAGTAATTTGATAATTTACTTTGTGAAATGTAAATTTAATGTCTGAAATTTGTTTAGTGGTATGAAAATTTGTGCCTTGGATTTATAGTTGATGTAGTGAAAGATGCTGCAATTTTAGTGTTTTGTTCAGTTTTAAATTGACTCCTCACATTAATAAAAATCGGCATAATTAAAATGAGAAGTAATTTTAAGCTATAATACATTACCTATAATGTATTTTATGAGAAAGAAAATCCATTTTTTTTTAAAATTACTCCATACTAAGTAATTTCATTTTTAAAAAGGCTGTTTTCATAAAGTTAGATATTGCTTTTATGTATTTCTTTTCTGAAATGACCACAATTGCTTTAAACTGATTGATATTATAAAAAATAGTTTTCTTTATGAATTTTCCCCCAATATTCCCTCCCTGTTTTCTCACTTCATTGTATTCTTTCCTCTCCCCACTTTTAAGCATGAATTGTGAGCCCCTTAACTTTCATTTCATGTTAAACTTGTTATGTGCTTGAACATCCTTAAATTTTATCTTTATCTCAATTTTTTTCTACTCTTGAATCTACCATGAATTTTCTGTAAGTTTAGTTCCTTTATAAATTTCTTACTTTTTTTTTAATGTAATACTTTTACCATATCGAACTTCATACTATTCATGTATAGATTAAAACACTGCTTCCCACTTGAGCTCAATGGACTTCAGTGTAGAGTTTTCTGTTGTATATCTCGCAAGTACCGTTCATGTAGCTAGTTTTGTTGGCTGATAACAATTTCAGGTTTAAATGTAAATACCATGTGTTTATTGAAACTGCCTTTCATCACATTAAATCAGTCCACAGTCATCTGAATCATTACCATATCAGTTAACTTCCATCTTAATCATTAAAACAGTCCCCAGTCATCTGAATCATTACCATATCAGTTAACTTCCATCTTAATCATTAAAACAGTCCCCAGTCATCTGAATCATTACCATATCAGTTAACTTCCATCTTAATCATTAAATCAGTCCACAGTTGTCTTTATAATCATATCAATTAACTGCCATCTTAATCATTAAATGAGACCAGTCATCTCAATCATAAGTGTAATGACCATCTCAGAAGCAAACTGTGATTCAGTGGTAGACAATATTTTTGTTTGGATTTTAAAAAGATTTTTAGTGTTTATCTTTCAGTGTAACTTGGGAATTTTATTTGTTTTTTATGTTTGAAACTAAAACTGGTTCCATCATTGAGGATTGTTGTCAGTGCTGCAATGTTTGTTTGTGTCAGCTGTTTCTTGTCTTCATGATTAATAATGTACCCTTTTAATTAATGGGCATTTTTGTTACTGATACGCATGAAACGGCAGCTTAGTTAAACATTTGTTGCTTGTTAGTTTTTATTTATTTTTTTAAAAAGAGAATTAGGAGCTCAAATTGCTTTACAATGTAAGGCGTAAAATATGTGCAATTAAAGTGGTGTCTGGTTGTGTTAAGAGTCAATAAAACAGATTTTGATTGGTTGTAGTGAGCTCTGTATCATCAATGTGATTGGATGACAGAAACTAACTAAAAGTTGGATTGGTTGAGATTTCAGATTGAATGGTTTTTTTTTATTTGTTTCTTAGCTAACCAGTCATTGTGTTATTTATTTTTAATATCTGGAATGTGTATGAACTGTTGTCCATGAATTTTACAGTTTAAAAATTTATTGTAATGAATTTGTCCATTTAAAAAAAAAATGTTTTTTTTTTGTCTCAACTTATGTTACACCCCCCCCCCCCCTCCCCTATGGTGTACACTGTACATGACAAGCAAAAAGATTAAAATAATTTGTTTATCCTTCTGACTCTTTTTGTTTTTGTGAATGTGAGAGTGCCAGCTTAATTTCTTTTTATTTCTACAAAGTAGAAATTCCTTGAAGTAAAACTACATTGTTTTGTTTTTGAAAACTCAACATTGAAGTGAAAAATATTTTTCTGGTTTTCACCAACTTGAAAAAAAAAGGCAACCTGTATATCCGTAAGCCCCTCCTATTTAGCAGGTTTCAGATAACTGGAGGCAATAAAAAGCGGAGATAGCGCTAATTAATTGCCCCGCACTTCCCGTCTGGGTACGTAGAACAGCAGGTCAAGGATGCAAATGCTATAAAAATATTTTAGCAGACTATCTTCTTTACAAGCAGACGTGCCGGATGCACGTTGATTTAGATACGCTGGCGCCCGCGATACTGTCGTTTCTGGAAATTTCTCTATTACCAGGCCATGCAACTTTTAAGGCAATCAAAGAAATTAACTAGAATTTTTTTAAACATTGTAATAATTTAATTAACTCCCCACACCCTGTTCTATAGATCTAGTAGCCCTACCAACAGAAAATCAAATTTTCAAGTAAGTTGGCTGAAAGCAGTATTTTATTCGGACATTTTTCGCAGGGGGACGGGACCGGACATTTGAAAATTTGACGAGGGGGGGGGGGTGGCTAAAAAAATTCCATTCTGTAGGGTGGGATGGGCGATGGACATGCTCGGAGAGATGTCTGGAAAGTGAAAGAAACAATGTTTCTTAACAATAATTTTTTTCAAGTTAAATGTTGACAGTAAAACTCGTAGTTTGTGAACAACCGGACTGACTTTCTGTTTCAAATCGAGGAACTGCAATAAGAATAAAGCAATAATAAAACTTTCGATAAAGCTCCGAAATTAAAACAAACTTGCCTTAACTTACAAAAAAAAATGGTTGCTTATGAGATCTCCTACATATTTGAGAGACTAATACTTTTATTAAAGAAAGCACATTAGTTTTATTGTTATTTTTCCAATGCACTTAAAAGCCTGTTATTAAGGTTTTTTATAGGTCTATTTTTTCTTTCCGCTTTTTCGTAACTTTTCCTAAATGACATTAATTCCCAATCGGCTATTAAAACTATAGACTACGAATAAAATTATTTGCATTATTTGAAAACTGATCAGTGGCTTTTAATCTTTAAAAGACAATTACCCGCCCCTTCTCAGTCTGTGGTTGACGCTCACGTAAAAAAATCACTCAGTCGTGAAAAAAACAGTTCACCGTCTACGGTCAACTGATAGATTGATCGCTCGTATTTATTATTGAATGTTGTAATTATTAAATAAAATTAAATGATTAACCTAATGTCTAATACGATTTTAAAAAACCCAAATATTCTTACTTTGTCATTGAGGACTAATGTATCTGGAAAATTTGAACGAGTTCGCTGCATTAGAAGTGGGTCAAAATAAAGGTACTAGATTTCTCCATATCCCACAAACAACATTGTGAACGAAATAAAAGCTTATAATAAACGAGCCGACCCGCGGCATATCATACGTTGCTATTTAGTTGTTTTATTTTCTTTTTTTCATTAATTCATAATTTGTGAATTCGACAGTACCAACGCTGCCACTGAAAATATTTCTTTAAAACACTATAAGTAGCTCGTTAAGGACGATAGCCCCCCCCCCCCCCCTCCTCCCCCCCCCCTCCGTTAAAGTTAACTCCACTTAGTTACCCCCCCCCCCCTCCCCCCTTCGTTTAAAATCGTTTCAAATCAAATTATCTGCCCCTAATAATCGTCACTAAACCCGGCACTGCCTATAAACATTTAGCGTGAACCACAGCTCATCAGACCAAGTAGGGGTGGGGGTGGTAGGGAGCGCGCTTACAGCTTGTTTTCTAGCGTCTCCCAGAAGAGAATTATCTATAATATAATCTATAATATAAGCGGGCTGAGCGTGTCCTTCCTTCCTTCCTTCCGTCCGTCATCGCTATAGATTTTGGGACTATAAAAGTAAACTACGCACCATGCTGTGCTTTTCAGTGCACTTCAGTGTCTTATTATAAGTAATAGAGTAGGGTTTGTTTATATAGCGGCATAGAGCTATTTTATAATTTACACTGTTTGTACAATTTTGCATAACGTAAAGAGAATATTATATACACGCACATTGCTAAAACATATTAAAAGGATCAATGTCAAATATAGTTTTCGTTAATATTCCTAGAAAAAGTGGATACATTTTTATAACATAATAACTGTAGGTTAGAAAAATCTAATTAAACTGTTTAGTAATTTTGCCAAGGGAGGTATTTTAAAAATAAATTGAACTCACGCTAAAAATGTGAATGCAAAATCTGCAAGACGGAATAATTGTTGGAATAATATAATTAGCAAAATGTGAATGCAAATTATGCAGACGTGTAAGAGTGCATTATTGTTGGAATATTATAATTAGCATTGATTGATAAAAGGCTATCTTTTATTTATTTTATTCACTGAATGTACTGTTTACTAATTATAATTTTTAATAAACTATTCTCCATTTTTATATTAATTATCACGTTCATTAGGTGCGCAATGGTTTTAGTCATGAAACTTTATTGTAAATTTTTAAAAGTACTGAAAAAAAATGCATGAATTTATAAAGTGCAATATGGTCGGTAAAACACGGATATTCTAAATACTGCCTTTAATTTATTTGCGGAAAAGCTAGGGGTTTTATAACAGAGGCGTAGCAAGAGGGGGGGGGGGGGAGGAGGGTGGAAATCGAAAGTTTGAGGGAGGTGGGAGGGTGTAAATCGAAATTTTCCGCCGGCGCTCGGAAAGGGCGCGATTGGCGCTACGGGATAGACTGTGAGCAATATGCCTTTATGATTACATTTAAATTGAGTTTATGTTGAGTGTTGTGTTTGTTTTTTTCGTTTTTTTTTTCTTTGCGTTCGTTTGTGTTGTATTTAGTTTTGTTCTGTTCCCAACTTGGTACATTTAAAAAAGATTTACCGTGTGTTGTGGTTGTGTTGTGGTTGTGGTTGTGTTGTGGTTGTTTTGTGGTTGTGTTGTGGTTGTGTTGTAGTTGTGTTGTGATTGTGTTGTGGTTGTAATGTGGTTGTGTTGTGGTTGTGGTTGTGTTTTGTTTGTGTTGTGTTTTTGTTTGTTTTGTTCTGTTCTGTTCCAAAGTTGGTATATTTTAAAAAGATTTACCGTGGCGGAGCACGGGATGCAGCTAGTATATATATATATAGATAGGTTCGGTTAAATGAAAGGTACTCGAATTACTTTGCTCGCGGTGAAAAAAATTAGCTGGCGACTGCAACAAAAACCGAGATCCTGGTCTTGATAAAAAAAAAAATACCCCCCTCCCCCCTCCCATCATGCTCATCGTTTAGTGTAGTCGCATCGTGTACTTTTCTGCTGTACGGCGCCCTGCCAGGCCATTGACCAACAAGATTTAACCTATTTTAAACTTATCATGTCGTCGCTGTAATCACTTCGTGCAATTTTCTTTTTAAACTCGTTCGTCCTTTGGGCGCCAGCATTTTTTTTTGGTAACTGATGATCTGGTCTGTAAAGAGATTATTGGACGGTCGGTCGTGTTAAAACTTTAGAACGTGTACCTAGAATTATGTATGTGATTATCTAGAGTTCGTATTTATCTGAAAAGCAATGAGCTATTTTACCATGGTACAAATTACATCGGCTAGCGCAATCATTTGTATATCGAAAAGCCAAGCCATTTTTAGGTTTAGTTAGATCTAGTAAAAATTACAAAAAAGCCAAGCTGTGGGGTATATTATGAATAGAGTTTCTTCCAGGCATCTCTTCGAAATGAAATTTATATAGAACATGTATACTTTTAACAGTGACCGCCCCCCCCCCCCCCCAGAAAATTGTGTCCGCTCCCCCCACCCCAAAAAAAAAGTCAAGTACCCCCCGGAGAAAAAAGTCTGGAAAAGTGCCTCCCCGGAGAAAAATATCTGAAAGAAACACTATTCGAGAACCAGAATAATTAAGTAAAGCTTGTTTTGATAGCCACATGGGAGGGGTACTACTGGGTTTCTTTTAGCCATTTTTCCCCGGGAGTGGGAGCTGTGGAAATTTGCCTAAAA